AAAAAGCTCTGGAGATGAAACATTCATCCACTTCTTACACAATAGTCTCATGCGTGAAGGATCTGACACGACGCCTGTTTTATTATCCATCCAACAAGTTATTTATACACACGTGACAAACTTTCTTTCAGTTCTGTGAACACGAGAGAACTCCAGTGGAACTGAATGGTCATCGATAATAAACTGTCGATGACGATTTATCGATTTCCACGACAAGTCCATTGATTATTATTTATTCATTTTAATTTTCATTAAAAAACGTAATTAAAGCTATTTAATTCATCTACCAGACAACAACAATAACATTAACATAAATATTAACAATTTTATAATGAATTGTTGATGACGATTTATCGATTTCCATCACAAGTCGATTGATTGATTATTAATGACTTTTTAATTTTTATTTGTTCATTAAAAAACGCGATAGCAGGTATTATTATTATTTTATCAATTAAATGCCGATATAATATTTAAATCGAATAACGAATTGTTGAGGTCGATTATTAATTAGATTTACAATTTTTGTGGTTATTAAAACTTGATTGAGATTATTTAATTAATTTAATGGAGAGGAACAGAATATTCAAGTGGAAATTGCAACTCCGATTTTTATCAAGAGTCATTCGATCCCGAGGTCTGGATTATTGCAAGAGTTTACTGGTGATATTGACAGGATTGACAGCTGTCGGAGATGTTTATCAAGGCCACATGGGGCGATAAATCGAGATTCCCAGGGGATGCCACAAAAATCTCGAAACCAATCGAACAATGAATTTCTACGAAATTTTCCATTCCATTGACTTCATTCGAGAATTTATTTATTATTAATGAATTTATTCGAGCCAATGAGCTCCACTTGCAGATTATTTTATCATCATCATCATCAGGGGTGGTACGGAGTTTTTCTTTGTTTCTATTAGACTCGGAGATGTCATTATAATTAATTAAGATAGCAGATGTGATAATTAAACTAGTTAATTCACGTAAATTTCACTCATTGCTCGATATCTCGCAATTTGCACGGTGGAATTCCATGATTTCTACGCCATTTTCGAGGTATTTTCATCGGCTTTGAAATGATCCCGAACTCATCGAAATCGGATCGTTGGGTCAAAGAATAGCAGTGATTCAAGAGAGTCGATTTCACCCACCCTCCAGGAAAAACTAGACATAATCTCTTTCAATCTCCGATATCTCACGACCAGATGATCGGATTCAAACGAACCAGGTATCATTTCAAAGACGGAATAAAAACCGTCAAAACCTCTCCAAAAACATTGAATTCCACTCAGCCAATATGGAGTTATCGATAATTGAAACTCGGGCAGGAACTGAATCAATTCAATAGTACGATTTTGAGATGAATCTCTTCAAAAATAAAATCGATTGCTAGATTTTCAGGAAAAACCAATCGATCGAGGGTCTAATGATGATGACGAATTACCAGATTACCCCACCAGGAAGGAAAAATTGATAAAAAAACAGCTGTTGAAACTTCGACAGAATCAGGAAATGAAGTCGATGCAATACATAACACGAAATAACCTCAACTCGATCGAGATATTTTTTCCAGGGACTCCAAAGAAAAAATCAAGCTGTTGAATCAGAAATGGAGATTAAGATGATAATGAGATTGCAGTGAAAAATTATAATAAATAATGTTATCGAATTATCTGGAATTAAACTCACTCGTCATTAAATTCGCCTTTTCAGTGAACATACGTCCTTTTTAACCGAACTCGTATACTTTCATCGTCGATAATTGGCCACTTTTAACCCCACACACACGTTTGCACTCGATTCAACTTTCTTTATTCGTCGGAGAACTTTTTTGGGAATTATTTTTTATTTTAGGTGTCACTATTGGGTTTTGGGCCCCAGGGATTATTCAGGCGATTTGGTTTCGTATTTTTTATTATTTTTTTTTGTCTGATGACTCTTTTTCTCAGGGTTGCGGGGTGTCACCAGGAGTTGTAATCCGAGGGGCAGTCATCTGCAGACTGACATGAGAGCTTGGAACGAATTCTGGTGAGATTATTTCTCTGGATTTTCGGAAATTTCAGGATTGTGGCGCCACGTGGCGGATTGTTCTCGGAATTCTGCGGTTTTCCAATCGAGAGATCGAAGCAGAGATTATCGAGATGTCGTGACTCAATTGATCGATTATTTTCGATATGCGGTTTGAATTTTTTATTTATTTTTATTTTACTTGAATTTATGAAATGAAATTGATTATTGATTAATAAATAATTTCTTTGAAAATATTGCCTCATAGACTTTTCTGTATCTTTTGAAATTCCCGGCAAAAATATCCTCCCAAATTTTCCGACTTCGCGATTCAAACAGCGCGCGCATCAATTTATTTATTTATTCAAAAAAATCCTTTCAAAATTTTCTGAATTCTCGATTTTCTTATCAATAAATTCATTTAAACATCCGAGACCTTCCGAAATTCCCGGTAAAAAAAAGTCCCCAGGAATTTACCCAGAAATCCCCGGAAACTCCTGAAACGATTCAAAAGTGGCGCGTACACATCTAAAAATGGCGCCACCAGGGTGTAGCGGTGCCGTAGGGCCGGCGGCGGACCTAGAGGGGCCAGAGGGGCTCCACCAAGAAACTCCCCAGGTCGTGACGTCATCGAGCGACACTAAGAATCGGCCATTTTGTGAGTGTGTACTCCAGAAGGGTGATATTTGTGTTGGGTGGGCAGGCCGTTTTTCCACAATTAATCCAAAAACCGATGATTCAATTACCCCAATAACAAATCAATCGCCGACACATATTCACCTTTATTACATGTGCTTGAGTGCTAGGTTAACGATTAAATAGTAAATAGCCCGTGGGATTACGATGGAGGAGAAGGCATCACTCAAGGAGCTTGACCAGTGGATAGAACAGTTAAATGACTGCAAACAACTGACAGAAAGTCAAGTGAAAACTCTCTGCGACAAGGTTTGCCATTATTTATTTATTACCCAAATTTCATTGATTTATTGTGATTGTTCCAGAGAATAGGGAACAATTGGGGGATTTTCTTTTTTCAAGCGGTAGCTGTCGGTGAATTTATCAGACATGTCCTCGGATTAATCACGATTAATTCATTGTTAATAACTGCAGGTGCCAGCAATCTCGAGGTTTTTGTTTCTTTTATCATTTATTTATCATTTGTTGCTCCGGAATTTCAGGGCTATTTTGCCGCCCGAGGGCTCGATTATTTTTTTATAGATCAGCCTTCGCACTACGTCACGTCGTGATTCATTGAGATTTCTTCGGTCATTAATTTGTATTAATTTATATTCATTTATATTAATTTATATTCATTGACAGTTCATATTTAATGAGGTAGTACTGAGTCACTTGAAATATTCATTATTTAATTTGTCAATTAATATTCAGTCTTCTCAATTTTTATGGTTAATCCTGAATTGTTCAATTATATTTTAAGTGATTAATCTGGGATAATTAATTTGTTGGATTTCAAAGGATGAATTTCTCAGTTCTAGCCTGTCAATTGTCTCGTTATCTATGAGAGCTGATTATATGCCACTTCATTAATATTTTCCTCCTGTCTAGGGATTTGTTAATGAGCAACAAGTCGTCTTCACAATTAATTAATTTGAGATTCAATTCACGTTTGAATTATTGACATGAAAACTTTCTTCATTTTTAGGAACTCATTATTTATTTTTGGGGAATGATAATTTGAAAATTGCCGGTTAATTGTGATTTTTTGGAGTTAAAATGTTAATTATCCATTAATTGGATTAATTAACGAGCGAATTTGAGGAATTTGAGGGTCAATTGTTTTTTAATTAAATAAATTTTATAGATTTCAAGGAGAAATTTCGTTCTTCCTGAGAACTTGTCGCGGACTTTTATTTATACAACAGCCGAAACATTGGGGGTATTTATAACGGGCTAAATATGTTCGACAATTAATTAATTAGCAACAAGTTGTTGTCTTGAAATAACTCTGAGGTATCGATTCGTGATTATGATTTCCTTCTGGTGGACTAAATTGCCGGTCTTACGGAATTTTTTCCTCGTATTTCGTCATTCGCATGAGAATCGATAGTCATTATTCGATAATTCGGGGATTCCCTGGAGATGAGTCGACTGGAGAAATACTAAAGGATTGGATAATTCAGAGTTTTAAATGGAGAATGAATTTTTGTTTCAGGCCAAGGAGATACTCGCTAAGGAGTCTAATGTCCAGGAGGTCAAATGCCCAGTAACCGTGTGCGGTGATGTTCATGGACAGTTCCATGATCTCATGGAGCTGTTTCGAATAGGTGGCAAATCACCAGATACAAACTACCTGTTTATGGGGGATTACGTCGATCGTGGATATTACTCTGTCGAGACTGTCACTCTCCTTGTTGCATTAAAAGTTTGTATTCTATCTCCAGGTCACAGTACCACCACCCCAGAATACTTTTGACTGATCCCCGAGTTAAAAAACTTGAGATAAATCCAACAAAGTGCCACTCGAGCAAACAATCTGCGAAACTGAGATAAATAAAGATAAATTTTTCGTAACAAGCCATTTATCTCGGAAACAGTCGATTTAAAAAAAAAAACTCATACGACCTTTTTAATCAGAAATTTGATGAGCTACAAAATAGTCCTCTGACATTTCCCCCTCAAATCGATAGTTCTCAAGATAATCACGTAATTACTAAACATCTCACGTTCAAATAAAATGAGATTAATCAATTTTCAGTTTTTTTAACTATCAATCCATGGAAAACTATTGATTTTAGTAGAAAATATGAAAAGACTTTTTCTCTGGGAAATTTAACGAGCTACAAAAAAGTCCCGCGAAATTTCCTTGTTAAATCAACAGTTGTGGAGATAAACCGGTAATTGTGAAAAATGTGAAATTCAGAGTCTCACTGTTGATAAACAGAACCCACAGTATGCGATGAGGAAGAAGAATATTAATAGGGAGAATTCTTTGAATTAATCATCGTCAATCATAGAATGTATGACAGTTGATTTATCAGTGGAATTTAGTTCCTCGTGTTGTGAATGATCCGTACAAGCTTCACGTAAATAATGATTTCTCTGTGTTTAGGTGAGGTACCGAGAAAGAATAACTATTCTCCGTGGCAATCACGAGTCAAGGCAAATCACACAAGTCTACGGTTTTTACGATGAGTGTCTACGTAAATATGGTAACGCTAATGTGTGGAAATTTTTTACCGATTTATTTGATTACCTGCCCTTGACTGCGCTGGTCGACGGTCAAATATTCTGTTTGCACGGTGGTCTATCACCCTCTATCGATACTCTCGATCACATTCGTGCACTAGATCGTCTTCAAGAAGTGCCACACGAGGTGAGTAATGAATTTTTATCAATTTTCTTCAATTTCCCCATTTCCTCCAATTTCCCCACATCTCCAATTTCTCGCTAACTAAAGCAGAAACTAAAGATTTCAAGAGCTAGAAAAAGGGCCCAATTTAATTTTTTTTTATTTATTCAGGGACCAATGTGCGACCTATTATGGTCAGATCCTGACGACAGAGGAGGATGGGGTATCTCACCACGTGGAGCAGGATACACATTTGGCCAAGATATATCTGAAACATTTAATCATTCTAATGGTCTGACTCTTGTGTCAAGGGCTCACCAGCTCGTCATGGAGGGCTACAACTGGTGTCACGATCGCAATGTCGTTACAATATTCTCAGCCCCTAATTACTGCTATCGCTGCGGTAATCAGGCTGCAATTATGGAGCTGGATGATGCTTTGAAATATTCATTGTAAGTCCCAAATCAATTGAACCCCCACAAAAAAAAATTCCCCTCATTATTCTGTCATTCTCCTTGAAAACCCAAAAAATTAAAATCAATTATACATTATAATTATAAGTATAATTATTTTTTAGTCAATTGAAATTCAAGGGAATTGACAGAATTTTTAGGAGTCGATGGGAAATTAATGAGAAAAATATTCATTTATTTTCTTTGAAGACTGAATGATTGAAATAAATAATTAAATGATTGCAGCCTTCAGTTCGATCCAGCCCCAAGACGTGGGGAGCCACACGTAACCAGACGGACGCCTGACTATTTCCTGTAAGAAGGTTCAACCCCTTGGAGGATAGATTTTTAAGGTAGGGGATTGGAGATGGCTTTATAGTGTCGCCACTAAAAGAAAAATTAAATATTCAATGAGAAAAAAAAAAAGAACACAAAAAACGATTAACGATTAAACGTATGAACATCCCTGCGCCATTAGCCCCGAGTATTTATGGCTGACAACAGTGGAAATGAGGAAAATAAAAATGCATTGAAAATGGAGGGAAAAAAAAACAATTATCTAGACTAGACACAACACTTTTACACCGGAGGATGTGAGAATAAAAACACGAGACGTTAAAAATCATTGTAGATTTATCAATTAATAATGATTCACCCATTGAGTTTCATCTGATTGTCATTTTTCCAACGTTATCTCCAGAGTTTTGGGGATTTTTTTATCTTGATCTGGTGAATTTTCATTGCAATTTACCCTCTCATCCACGAGAATAAATTAAATAAACAATTACCTGTTCTCTTTTCAATGATTTATCCATTCTATGAGTTGAATGAGTCGATAAATATTGAAAATAGGCAATGGTAAAATTAATTTTTGTTAATTAAACCCCAGGGATTAATGACAATTAAAAATTATTTGAATGAAAACAATTCAGATAACGTTGGGAGAGACAGTGCAACTGGGCCTTAGGGGCTTATATTTTTACGATGAAATAATAGAATTAGATGAACTAAAGAGGAATCGATAATTACTGGCCACATGTCAATGTAAAACTCTGACTTTGCAAATAAATTATAAATTTCATACGCCATTCGAGAAAATTGAATGAGCAGCTTTTAAATTGTGTGGGATGGTGGGTGGGAGGGTGGAGTGGGAGGGGAGGGTAAAGGAGTGGAGCTGCTGTTTACGATGAATAATTTGTATTTGTGGAAAAATTTTTGGGGAATGGGTTGATGCAATAGTGACTTGACCCGTACTATTACCGCCGAATGGAACTATCAATATGAAATAGATAAATAAATTGTGAATTTTTAGTGTTAGATGTTTAATCGTTCCTCGATGAAGAAACATGTGAAAATGAAATTAATAGGTTTAAGATTGGAATAATCGAGATAATCAACTGTCGGTGAATAAAATTTTCCATGAGATACTGTGGACCACTATCACAATTCGCTCCTTATCAAGATCATATTATGTACAGACTGTCATTTCATTGAGATTCATCGATTATAATTATCCATCTTATCTTTTTTTTCATTGATGAAAGGAATAAAAATTGTCATTCGATCGATTTATTTTTATTTTTGTTTGAATTACCTTTTTTTGTTTATGGATTTGGGTTTCAGGGGTCAGGTAATCCTGGGGAATTGTTTTATTGGACTTTTTTTTTTCGTTATACACTTTTGCATCAAATCCCAGTCTGAATTTTTATGAATTATTTGTCATTTTTTTATTGCTGAGGCCGATGCTTGGGCATTTTATTGTGTAATGGAGGATTTAATTATCCTGTGGTGTTGTGTCGTGTCAATTGTTATCGATTGCCTGGAGGGAGACTTGCAGGTCACGATTTTTTCGGGATTTATTGGTGAGATTGAGAAGTTGAGGGGAAATTTCTCGCGTGTTTATTGATTTTTATCGGGAACTACTGGTTTTAGGAGAAAATAACAAGAGATCGGTTTTGTTGACAATTTCAGGGGCTATAAAAAAGTTCCTTACCATCTTTCTCTGAGATCAATAGTCTTTTCAATAAATCAATAATCACAAAGAAAGGAAAATTACTTTCTCTCGATCTACCACTTTACTGGATTTTTCCTGAAATGAAAAACGATAAAAAATCATTCAACACCACACGACAACTAAAAGTCATAAATACCTGACTATACGTTATACGTAACTGAACAAAATCGATTTTTAATGACTAAAAACTCGAACTCACTTGCGAAATACTAAGATAAATCGAATTTTATTTCCTTCAAATCCCGCTGGATCAAAAACTATCGGCAAAACAAAAAAATCTGAAAATACCATATTTCTCGGAAATTCAGTGACCTACAAAAAAGTCCTCATTGATTTTTACGTGAAATCAATATATAACTCTCCACGCAACAAAATTCGACTTATTTTGACGACTAATTTCCCAGGATTTTTCCAGACAATTCCAAATCCTGAAAAAATCCTCGGAAAATCCTGGAAAAAAATGTATTCATAGGAAAAGTATCCGTAAGCATGCATAATGGAATAATGAAAAATTGTAGTGCTCCTAGAGTGGCTTTCGCCTAGTTATGAATGGAGAAACAAAAATCGAATGAAAACGATTTGAAACCTGAGACGAGCGTAGAATTGCGCCTCGTAGATTATTGTAAATTAATATAGATAATAACGAAGAAATCATAAAAAAAAGAGATCGCCTCTCTTCGGGTGACGCCTGAGCATTTTTTTCCCTCTCATTTTGTATCACGTGGAAACATAAAATGATAAAGTAACACTAGGAGTGAATTTTTTCTTATGAAATAATTAAACTTGTGGACAATAATCCACTGATTATTATACAGTTTCCCACGGGAAATAGATCCTAATGTATAGATCATTTTGTATTTACTCTATTTATTGTATTCACAATTTTTTCGTCTAGTTCTGACACTTTAGGGGAATTTTCTATCGTTTTTTTTTTCGACTTTCTTTTTCATTATTTCCTCCTTTTTTTCTATTTGGGAATAAATTCGGTTTCTCTGCTTTCCAATACTCTTGGCAAGTTGACAGATTAATTTTGGTCTCGATTTTTTTATTATCCAATCCAACTGCCAATTTTTTATCGAATAAATCAATTTTTTCTGTTTTTAGTTCGAGAGGAGAATTTCGGTCGATTCATCTTTTTTTTTTCTCTGTCGATTGGAAAAATGAAAATCTTCTCTCAGAGATCGAGGGAATTCCTGTAGTAGTCGATGAAAAATTCATGTGTCAGCTTGTCAATTTTTAATAATTAATAAACAAATGGATCGGATGATTATAAGAACAGATGATCGATATGTATTTGTGATTTGTCTCGTACCTCAGAACTCCTGATTTTGTTCTTCAATTCGAGATTAATAAATTGTCAGAAAAGATAATCAACTGCTGCATGCGTTTTTTTTCTGTCCAGAAAAATTACTTCGGTATAAAAAATATTTTATTAGACTCTGCATTCGTCAATTTCAGGAGTTTCTAGACAGTTAAGCCCTTCTTACATTCACTGGTTGATTTCAGGGGTAATTAGTCTATTATCGTCGTACATTTGATAGTCTCGAAGTAATTCCTTAAATAATTTTTCCCTTTCACCCGCACAATTCTCTACAAATCAGTAGAAAATGTTGTAAAATAAAAATTTAGTCACTTTAAACATCGATTTATCTTGAGAACTCTTGGTTTCAGAAGAAAGTACTGAGGAACTTTTTTCGAGGATATTTAATTAGCTACAAAAAAGTCCTCTAAAATTTTCCCGTGGAAACGATATTTTTTGAGATAAATTGTTGATTCTAAAAATACTGGGTTCGACTAAAATGACATGAATTCAATTTTCGTTTTGTAAACATCGATTTATCTCGAGAACTATTGACTTCAGAGAAAAACACCAAAAGACCATTTCTCTCAGAAATTCAATTACCCAAAAAAAATCCCCATACGAATTTCCCCCGAAATCAATATTTCCCCGGATAAAACCGTGATCACAAAAGACTCCAATCCAAAATAAAACGAGCCCTCAAATTTCACTCCAACAAATGATCGATTTATCTCAAAAACTATCGATTTCCATAAAAAATCCGAAGAGATCTTTTCTCTCCACAAAGAAATAATCTCCAAAAAAGTCCTCTACCACATTTCCACAAACCCATCAATACCCAAGTTAAACCGCCATTAAAAAACCCGCACCACGTTCCTGCACTTAAAACCTAAATCTAAAAATTCAGCTACTCCTAAAACACTCATTACCACTAGGTCCCAAAACCCACCGGCCCCGTAAAAAGGGCCCAAAAAAATCCAACAGTTAAATTTTCATTCCAGTATCGAGATCGAGCATTTGTTTCATAACTTCGTAAGTGGTGAAGCTGACAGCCACCATGGGAATAGCTCTCAAATAATTGATACTCATTCCTCGATAGAGTCCCCTGGTGATACCATTCTCCCAGTAGATGAGTCTCATCGTCGATACCATTCCCGATCTGTCGACAAATAAATAAAAAATAAATAATATCCTCTCACACATTAAATATTCAATTAATTTACCCATATTTGTGTGTAGCAGGATTCATCATGGCTAATTGCATTCGTCTCCTGGTGACGTCTAGTGGATAGGAGAAGCTTTGTGCAACAGCTCCTGCGATACCCCCACAGAGTAATTTCGCTGGCAATGTTAATACAAGGCCACCTGATTCAATATAATTGTATCATTAATCATTATTCGATTTGTAATGCACAAGTATTCCTTCAGCACCCAGAAAAATCCATCACTTCCATCAGATATATTTTATTTCACCCCAAAACGAAAACCCATTTAACATCTCACCACCCCGATAACAATATTTAATTGTTATTAATATATAACGATCAAAACAAAATAAATAATCTATCTTTGAATTTAAGTTCGCTTAAATATGGATTAATCTCGAAAACTACTGGTTCTAGGTGAAAATGTGAAAAGACGTTTTTTCTTGACAATCTAATCAACTATAAAAAAGTCCTCTGGTGTTTTATTCTAAAACGTCTAGTTTTTTAAATAAATGGATAAATCGGTGATTGAATAATGAAATGTCGATTTGTCTCGTTTAATCGATTATTCTGAAACAATCGATTGAATAAATTTTTTTTTGAAAATTCAAGTGATCTATTTTTCTGGGTCCATTACTATTATTTCTTTACTATTAATTTTATTACAGTAGATATTGATTTGAATGAACGTATGGAGATTGTCTACTTGTACTTGAATTTAATCGTGAAATCTCTTGTCACTCATTTTTTTCATTCATTGTATCATCTTATGCTAATTGAATACGTATGTAATAAAAAAAATATATATAAACGTAGAGGATCAGTTGTTGATGGTGTAAAACGAATTTCAGAGGTATTTATCACCTGTATTTCGTGGACAATCGCTGCAGAGATAATTGGGGGCGTATTTCATGCTGAGGAATTTCAGGTACTCGAAGGAGTAGAACGAGAATCCGGCGTATGGAATCATTCCAATTATCGTGGGCCAGAATCCACGGTACAGAGCTGATATTCCCCCTTCCTGGAATTAAAATATTTTTATTCCAGTAATTATTCTCTCAATATTTCCACAATCCGATCATGAATTTTATTTTCATTTCAAATTATTCAATTCGAGAGAACTCTCCTGCCCTATTTTCCATCGCTAATTAAATGATTAATTATTAGGTATTCATAGTTTTATTGATTTTTTTGAGAGGGTGAGGATCATTGATGGGAGTTTGTGGGAATTTTTTAAAAGGAAAAACTCACGTATTTGCAAATAGTTATGGCAGTGTGGAAAATGCCAGTGTAAATATGCTCGCCAGTCACTTGAAATGCTAATCTTGCTCTGATGGTATCCAGGGGATAGGTCAGGGTCACTGCTGTCACTCCAGCAGAGGAACCAGCGAAGAACTTGTCCACGTGTGTGTGTTTTCCAAATATAGTACCTAGATACTGTTAACAATTCGTATTAGAATATTTCACACGTCCATTTTATTTGCACGTTCCACTTCTCCGACAGTACCTTCTTCTCCATAGATTACTTAAAAATAATCTACTCTAATTATTTTGTAATTAATTTAATTGCAATTGAATTAAATTCTCCAACGAATTTCACGATTTTGAAAATTCGAGATATTGGGTATCCGGGGATTCCCGAATTTCTTCGGAAATATTGATTTTAGGGGAAAACATCAAGAGACTTTTTTTGTCGGGAATTTAATCGACCAGGAAAAAGTTCTTTGAAAGTTTCATGTGGGAGCGATATATTTCGAGATAAATCGATAATTAGAGCGCCCTTGGGTGATAAAATCGAGGATTAAAATTTTTTCATTTACCTTTTTGTACATTTCAAAACACGTGTACTGCGTCGCGGCATACGGAAAAATCCGTATCATCTGTGCGAAATTTCCCTTGTAAAGTGCGAAAAATTTTTCCCTCTGAACGATTTCCTTGAGTCCAGAGAACACACCTGTAAACAAATCAAATCAATTAACTCTAAACGATCACCTGTAATTACCACTTAAAAAAAATGCACTCCCTGCATTCCCTTCTAAAAAAAAATTCATAAAACCCCATCAACTTCTGACAATCAAAAAATCCATTCACAGATTCGTAGAAATTCGTTCTTCGAATTACCGAATTTCCTTGAGATGAAAACCGAAATTTATCGCAATTTTCCCCTGTAATAATAATTTCCAAACCGATAAACTCACCCAAGTGCTTGTAATGTTCATTATGCGCCTGCAGAAGAATTTTAATTCTATCCAGAGGTGCAACAGTAGTCTTGGACGTCATCCCCGCAACACCTGTACAAAAAATCGAGGGATTTAATCTGGGAAAACCCCGAGTGCTAAACCAGGAAAACGCGGTCAATTCGAAAAATGAAAAATTATCTCACCTCCAGCAAAAAGACTCTTGACAATAAATTCGTAATTCCTCTGTTCCTGTACCTGGAGTGCCATGTTTACTCTTCCCCACGTCGAATTGTTTTGAAGTGTTTAAAAAAAAAATCCTGAGTCAGTGGTTTTAGAAAGTCGACTGGAATCCGAATAAATCGTCACATTGGCTGACCAAGAGAGAATGAGGGTCACTAGGTCAAAGGGTAAATACAGATCTCTGAAATATCGAGAGGATAATCACCTGTACGAAATCCTAACCTCTCGAAATCACCAGGAAGTATAAAAAAAAAACCGCACCTTTCGAAGAATTTTTTTCAATCACTGACACCAGAATTTTCTACATTTTCTTAATTAATTATGGAAATTATAATTAATGGCTTGGGGAGCTGGGGCCATTGACTCTGGAGACTCTGGACTTCCGGCAGATCTATTTCCTCATGTTTTTTTTCACCCTGGGGATGGCGTCGAGGGAGAAAAGATGGCGCTTTGAATTTTGAGAAAATCCAATTTACCAACAAGAGAAAATTGATAATTAATGGATTAAAAACTGATTATCAAATTTGAAATAAAAAAAATTCCCGCGTGAATGAATCACCGAGAACGACAAATTCTTATTTTCATGACGTTTATTCAATTTTACTTTCAATAATCTAAACTACTTGAACAAAAAAAAGACATAAATTTGGACAGGATCATAAACAGTACAAAAAAATAATCACAAAACATATAATTTCATACAGATGTAAATTCAATACACATGATTCTCATTTAAATTCTGGAATAAACAATAAAAAATATCAATGTAGATTCATGATTTCTCCAGATCATATATAACCGACATCTCGCGTACATAAGTCGAGTAAATAAATGACCGATGTACCGAGGATAGCAATGAGATTGTAGATTAAAAAATTTCTCATACAAAGTTCTACAGTATGCCCTTGGGGATAATTAATTCTCACGAACTTTCAAGGGGTAAAAGGCCAATGGTAGGGGAAAAATAAAGGATTAATGGTACTTAGAGAATAGTGGGAGCTGCTTAACTGTTTTGCTGATTCAATTGGAGGCTCTCATTGGTAGGCTTTAATTAATTTTACATGCTAACGTAGCCACGTGGCTGATTTCGCCTGCGTCCCACGAGGTAAGCTACTAATACGATCCCCACGAGGGCTATCAGGGCACAGCCAACAGCTATTGGCACGACGTCTTGAGTTTCCAAGGTGCAGTCCTCAGCTAAAAGTCAAAATTCCAGCATTAGTTCAATTTTAGAACAATTTACAACGTCGATTCTCAATTAAACGAGTGGTGATTCAATTTTTCATCTAAAATCGTATTGTTATTAATTATATTATCAAAGGTTTTTTAGGATTGAATAAATCTCTCACCATATCCAAATGACTGTGACTTATCAGCCCTGAATGCCTGGAACTGCAGCTCAGAAATCAAAGCAACTGCTGTTGCATTTTCTGCATTTGTCGTCATTTTCAATTCCTGGGGTCTCATGCACCTGTAAGAATTGCCTACTGACGTTTTGTCCTCACTGGCGTTATGAATCATCATCACAGTTCCATCTGGAATTAATAATTATTAATTAAATAATCGAAAAACCGAAAATTCTATTTCAATTCCATGAATTATTCCCTCATCTCATTCTAAAAAATCAATATCCACGATTTTTTTTCTGTAAACTAATCTATATCATTTATAATTATATATAATATATATATATAATGTTTATTTATTTTTTTGCAATGATTGAAGGGAATTTAATTCTCATGGAGCGAAAAAATTGATAGAATTCTTCGAATCGAGGGCTGATTTTTAAATAAATAAATAAATTACTGCTTCTGATGTTAGGAAGCTGCTTGGGGGTGATGTACACCTCGATATGATGGAGAGTATATGATTTAGCGTCACTCTTTACAAAGTGCATGACCACCGAGTCATTGGAATCAGCTCCTGAGGGCGTCCACTGGATGTTTATCACCTGCTCCTTCTCCCCACAGACTCCAGTTGCATTTGTCGTTGTATTATCACTTGGTACTGTTATCAATTCGTGAACAGTCTAAAATCATTTCAACAATCAACTAATTAGAGTCCATAAAAATTGACATTTTTAATTGTCTAACTGATTACTTAATTGATTAATTGTAGACTCGATTAATTAAAATTTATCAAAAGAATTTTTAACCGGTGAAAAACACACGGGATAAATCATAGAATTCATTTTATCCAAAATTACGATGGAAAAATGAGAAAATAAAAAAATAGAATAAATATAAATAAAATAAATAAATAAAATTTCATTAATTCACAGCCAATTAATTCCCCAGATTCCCCAGAATCGTTAATTACAATTAAAATCCCTTGAAAAACACCAGAAAAAATTAATAATAACAACTAATAATTAATTAAATTAATAAATTAATAATAACAATTTTCAGCTGTAAAAAATCATTACGAAAAATTAAAACACCCGTTCTACTAAATATCAAGGATCAAAGAGCCCTGGAGTTCGATAATATAATGTAAACACTTCACTAATTTCGATAATAAAATACTGCTAAACAAAGGATTGTTATCAGCACTGAAAAATCTGAAATGCAGCACTTTGTTCCGTATCGGAGCGAGTCTCGTATTTACCTTGTTATCAGTATTGAGATACGTAACGTTGAACTGCAAAGCCATTCGCAGAATAATGCACGTCGTATTGGTTCCATTGACCGACCATTTTCCAGGTTTAGCATCTGGTACTGGAGTCGGTGGAGCTGCTGTTGTGGTTGTATTTGTAGCTGGTGTTGTAACTGGAGCTACTGTTGTAATAGGTGCTAGTGTTGTTGGGGCAATTGTTGTCGTATCAGGAGTAATTGTTGTTGTATTAGGAGCTTTTGTTGTTGGTGAAGGTGGGGTTATGGGTTTTGGTGTTGTTGTGGGTTTTGGTGTTGTCGTAGGTTTTGCCGTTGTTGATTTCTCTGTAGACGTCGTGTTAGGGGCACTCGTTGGTTCCGGTAGTTTCTCATCCTGGACATCACCTGGAATCATTCGGCATTTTTTTAGGCGGCGAGAAGCCAATTGTTTAAACATTTTAATCACTGGTTTTTTAGTCAGAAGAGATTCAGGGAGTTTCTCAGGTTTTTGGGGATATCCGGGAATTTTCGTTGGGACCTTTTTTGTAGATCTCGTTTCGCTCTACAAAAAAAGTCTTTATGAAAATGTCGCTATCTTTCTGGGATTCAGAGGTATTCACGGAAAATCTCTCGATTTTTAGAATCGACTCGTTTTTCTTCACTTACTAATTAATTGATTAATTAATTCTTCTGGGGGAATAAATTATGGATTAATCTTTGGAGTGAACTCTGTCGGATCAATTGTAATTATAATAAAAATGATATATCGAATATTCTGAGAGCAAAAATTTCAATAAAATTTGAATAAAAAAATCCACAATTTTCCTCATCTCCACACGCCAATTATCCGCATTCCACACGTAAAAAATCACTGCAATTTCCCTGAGAAATCTTCAAAACTCTCAACATCACCGGAAATTCTGGCATCCGCGTAGATTCCCGAGAATCCATTATCGCAAAATTATCTCTCCACTCCTAGCATTCATCCCCACAAATGCGTCGACGAATATCACCGAGTGATTCATCACCAATCACCAGAGCCATTTAAAATTTTGCACAAAAAAGAAAAGAAGAAAAAACTAACCCGATCCCCAAAAAATCCAAATCCAAAAATCCGCAGAAATTACCCTGAAATAATTCGAATAATAATCGCCATGTCATTGTCACAAATTAACCTTCAATTTTGTTTCACGCCATTTTCCATGGCGATGGAATCGATCCACCGACAAAGCAACAAATGAAAAAATAAATAATTTACCCGAGACCAGAAGAACTGCCGATAGAAAAATCGCAGCACTTGGTAGTTTCATCCTTCCTCAAAATAATTCTTCACGAGCCTTTTTTATTATCTTCTGCCACCTGACACCCTGGAATAATCAAAACAACTGTTTTTTATTTATTTATTAGAATTTTAAAAAAACAACTAAAGCTCGCAGTCCATGTACCGCTGATTTGTTCTAAAATGGCAGACTGAAGTGGAGAAAAATTTTTTGATTCCTCTTTCTTGTTATCCTACTGCTAACTACGAACTACCGACGAATAAAACCGAATGGGAAGATAATGGCGCCGAATCGTCCGAACGTTGTCGATGATGCTCGATGTTACACGAGTCGTTTTTTCAATGGCCGCCAATTCGTTATTTATTGGAATTATTATTGGAATTACTGAAGCCCATAAAGTGGAACAATTAAGGTTTGTTTTGTCATCGAGAAAAAATATATCTTTTCCCAAATATTCATGTCCTTTGAATCCATTTAAACATGTCCTTAATACATACTAAAAAATAATTAATTATCTTTCTTTCTTTTCGCACTCGAAAAAAGACACCTTGGTGCATTATTTGTTTATTTGTTTATTTGTCTACTTGTTTATTTTTCTCATTTATTCATTCATCCATTAAAAAAAAATTACCCACTTCAATAAAATCTACTGATCACGAATAATTTTACTGATAATTTTTTTACTAATTAATTTTTCCACTGGTTTATAATATTCAGTAATTGTAATAAAAAATTGTTAATAATTTTAGGAATTGATTAATTTGAAAATGGGAAAGCAATTTCTGTCGGAGGAGCAGCAGAACTTCCTGGAGAGCTGCGAGGAGGAATTCAAGAATCGATTCACCGATGATGATCCTGATTTTGTAAAATTCGTGGAGACAGAGAGGCAGAAGCCCCCGATCGTCGATCCCTGGTACAATAAACCCAGGAGACCCCAGTTCGACTGGAGACAGGGTAGACGAAGAGACTACGACAGGAGAAACAACGAGAGGTCTGAAAAGAATGACAGGTACAGTGGAAGACATCAATCCCATCAACGCAGGTTCAGACCTTTCTGAAGACTTCGAAAATTCATCGCTTCCCTTTCTACCAATACCAGACATTTTAAACTAAAAAAAAAACCCTTTCAGACCCCAAAATCAATTTTTAATAAAAAAAAAAAGCGTTTATCAATTTTTTATTGCAAAAATTTCTGTTAAAAGACTCAATTTTGATTTTTATGTATAGAGCAGAAATTTTTATTTTATTTTTAAGATAAATTTCTGGGAAAGAGAATGAAAATACGAGGTAATATTGAGTATCGAAATAAAATGTAAAAGTATAAATATAAATGATAGGTTTATTGCTGTAAAAAAGTAGAGTCACTTGAAAAATAATTATCAATGTATTTTCTCAATCAAGCATTGTCGTCTATCAACAACATAATGTACCTTAGGTTTAATCTCGATATTAATCGAGTGGTGTAATAAATTTTCCCTACGCAAGATTTACCACAAACTATACATCCATAAGTTACAAATCACTACATCAATAAATCAATGTTTATCATGATAAGAATAAATTATTGGGTAATATTACAACCACTTCATGGCATTAATTAGCGAAATTAATATTGAAAGCTTTACAATTCCATTCGGTGTTATCTAATCCCTAAAATAACAGTCTCATGGAAGTAGACTCTGATAAACGTCTCGTACCTATTTACCTATTAGGAAAAATCCTATGTACATCATATTTACACCCATTAAAACTAGTGCATGGAACGATGTTTACCAAAAACATCTCTCTGGGAGGCAGTAAAACCAGGCGAGGCCAATAGTCTATCACAGAACGCGTTATCTCCATAATCATCCACCTGATTGCACAATAATCAACCTGAAGAGCTCAACTCTCACCGGGGTAACAGGCCGATATCTCCAAAACCGCGAAATCTACCGATAATTTCAATATAACATCTTTTCAAGCCCTTCTCTCGCACTACAAAAAAGCTCCCACAAAAATTTCTGTATCTCCCCCTCCTTCCGGTCCCTCCCTCCATGAAAAAAATTTTCAATCTCCGAAAGCACTCTCCCCATCTCCCCAGATATCTCAAAAGCTGTAATTTCCACAGAAATTTTCCGAGAACCTTTTTTGTAGCTCTTCCCACTCCGGACAAAACACCTCCCCACATAAAAATCGTTATCTCCCCCGGATCCGAAGATATCCCCTGTCGCAACCAGAAAAAAAAAACAACCCAGTGGTTTCATACCACCCACCGCCCCCCACTCCCTCAAAACGGTGGACAATTGACCCCAGGATGTAGATACTGACACTTATCCCCAACCCTGCAGTACCCATTCTTCGTAAATTGCCTGCAAACAGGTGGCTGTTTACCCCCTCTCCAGTTACCCCTCCCAGGCCACCCACCTCTCATAGGTCCCCCTCTAAACCACCCAGGTCCCCCTCTTCCCCTCATTCCAGGCCGTGGAGGTGGTCCCTGAAAATTGTGTCCAGGTCCAAACATCGCAGGCCCCTGAAAATTACCCTGCATATGACCAAATCCCTCATCCATCATCATCCCTGGAAATCCCTCAGGCCCCTGATGCCCCGGATGATGCCCCTGATGATTATAAATCCCCGGTGGTGGCATCATATTAGGCGGTGGAAAACCTGTGATATTCGTCATATTATTAATTCCCATATTAACATCAGGCACCACAACTTTTCCATCACCAGTTCTCCATCCTCCAGCCCCCACCTCCTGGACCATATGATTCATGGGAATCATTCCAGGTGGTTGAATGCTCATGGGAATCCCCTGAATTCCCTGAGGATGGACCACTCCCTGGGGTGGAAATCCCTGATGATAGACATTGGGGATAACTGGTGCAGGTGGTACCAGCGATGGTTTTGGCTCAGGCCAGGGTGTCATGGAGAAGTCTTTCTCACTCTCTTTATTTCCAGTTAAATCGTCCAGGGGAATGATCTTGGGATCGACGAGAATGTGGTGTCTCTCTTCGTCAGGTTCAGCTGCTGAATCAGGTATCATTCCACGATTGAAGTAGAGTGCCTGGAGAATTCCTTTCTCTCTGGCGTACTGCACGTCCTTCTCCTTGGATTCTTTTCCAGGCTCCACCAGTGGTGGTGGTAGATCTATGGGGATGAGCATTCGCCATTTCGTCTTCTCCCCCATGACGTCCTCGGTGTTGAGCTTTCTCGCCATCTGGAAGGCCTCTCTCTCCCCCTGTTTCTCCATCTGCTTCATATCGGTGAAGGTTTTCGTGACATTCACTCGCTCTGTCTCGTCTAGCTCGAAGAATCTCACGGATTCGAGTTCCTCTTTCCACTTCAGGGACTTCTTCGGGCCCTTTCTCTTCTGCAGGAGGAGAACACTACGGAGACCGTCGACGTATCGAATCTCGGGATTGGGGCTTGACGGCTCTTTCAGGTCGGACGAGTCGTCAGGTGATGCTGGACCTTTTGGCTCATCGTTGTCCTCGGAATTCGTTGGGGTTCTGCTACCCTCGTCATCCTCGAGGCCCTCACGATTCTCACGGCTCTCCGCCTCCTCTTTATCGCTCTGCTCCTGCTTCAGGGCCTTATCCTCGTCAGTTTCCAACGTGTCCTGATAAAACTGAAACCAAAAAAAAAAAAAATTCCTCACCAACTGCTGGAGATCTCACTCACCCCCTGACAACCCAATTTTACCATTCCTTTCCGGCGAATATCTCTAAATCTAACAGAGATATAAAAAATTTCGTGAAAACCTTTTTTGTAGCTCTGGATTTTCTCTACAGAAAATGTTCACACGAAATTTTTCTGTGACGTTCCCCTGACCGAAAAATTACCTTGAAATCAGGTTTAATGGAAATGGGCGATCTCTCGTCGACAGGTGGTGAAGAAGGTGGTGGTGTCGTCTCCTTGGTCTCCATCCCCTCTTTCTTCCCATCAGCTTTATCATCCTTCGACAGAGAACTCCTCCTCTTCCTCTTCCTGGGCTCTTTGCTCTTGGTTGAGGCCGTCAATGCATCCATGAACATATCGCTCTCCTGGAGAACCATCGCTACAACATACCATCATTTTAATTTTCAAAAAAAAACTCGATATAATTCCTCAAATAATGAAACATTGTCATCGTTACATTCTCCCGCGTATAAACAACGATATCTGCAATAAACAATAAATATTCAAGTGATAAAACAAACCCCAGGGATGAAAAACCCCAGATTAATGGAAATTATCACACCCTCTGGAATAAAATCAGGAAAAAGGAGTTGGGGATGAATTTTATTGCCGATTAATTATCAATTGTCGTCGCTTTTATTGCATAAACAATATCAATTATCAATCGATACCACGAATTACATTTTTATTGCCATGTGTGACGTAATCCAGATATTTATAGATAAATTGCAGGAAAATTCGTGGACTTTTCCTCCCAGAAGAGGCCATCGCTCCAGGTGACAACTCCAGATGATTAATTTATTTAATTACCAGGGGATAACATCCTGGGATTTTATTGTAGAAAATTTTTTATCATCTTGATTGATTTTGTATTGGAAATTGATTAATTGATTGTCAAGGGGTTGAGCTGATATTTCAGTTTTGTGGAATTGATTTTCTCTTTGAAATTTTAACGAATCTCTACTACTTGGTGGTACCTCCTGGATGTCCCCTTGTCCTCCCCGATGACTTCTCCAGGTGATGATGACCCAGCAATCTCCAAGGAATCGTTCATTCTTTTTCAGGTATTTTCACTGCTCAGGGAGTCATTCGTGCGAATTTAATATTTCAATTTTATAATTTATGTTATCGCCCATTAATTATTTATCGATTAGTATTTTCTATTTTTTGCATTAACTCCAGTATTCTATCGATTGATTATAAATTTTTTAAAGATAATGAAAGTGAAAATGAATATAGAGATTTGGAGATCGATTTTAGAAAATTGTCAATTGATTTTAATCGATAATCGATGGCTCCAGCTAAATTCGCGCGAATGACGTGAATTTCACAGGAGCATGGGTTAAATTATTGAAAAAAAAATAATGAAATTACTGAACAATTGAAATAACCATCGGATTTATCGAAAAAATAATCCACTGACGAATCGAATGAATTCAGGAACTCAAGTTCAACTATTTTTTTTATACTTTTATGATAAAATTTATTGGTTTACCTCATAATTTTTTTTTTCACACCTATGTAAATACTACACGTATATACAGGCATGAGAATGTACATGTACAAAAGAAAATGAGAAATTTTGTATTTTTGATAAACGAATAGGATTGCCTTACCCAACGACGAAATAAATAAATCCTTATCGAAGGCTCGACGTCGCACAGATTTTGATTGTTCACTTACTTTAATTGTTCATATGAATTACTGGATTAATATAATTGCATTATTGCATTTCACAGCACTTTCCCACGTTTTTCCCAGTTATTTTGATAATTTACCTGATGACGAGGCATTTCTGGATCTCCAGGGGACGCACCTGATATCTAAGAGGTAATTATTTATTGTTAATTAAATGGGGGTATAAAGGATGGGGATGCGAAGGTCCAGGGGAGGTGTCTCCACTCCTTCATCTGTAAACTCAATCTCCAATTAATCACTGAAAAATCATTAAGTCTTGATTAATTCTGGAGAATACGTAACGACGACAATGTTTCACTGTAAAAACCATAAAGTTCATTAAAAACTTATAAAAACAATTCAGAATAATCCATTCATCAGAAAATAATTTTAATAAACAAATTTGTCTTTCAGATCTCAAATTTTCTCTAACAAAAACTCAAAATAGTTCAGAAAAAAAAAGAAACGATTGTAAAAAATGGAAAAATCGATAATAAAAAATACAAATAACTAATAAAATACAGAATAGCGAGACATGAAACTGCCAATGAAAATATTAGAAGAGAAATAATGAGAAAAATCAGAGAATTGATTAATCAAGACAATAAAAAAATTAAAAAATGTAAGATATATTGACGAAATTAATAATAATGGATAATAAAAAATATAATTGACTGATAATAACTTACGTTTTGGTTTAGCTGGGATAAGCTTGATAGCTCCCTTCTTTTCCTCCCCCATACCAGGCAGAGTGCCATCAATAGAGAGTTTGGGCTTTTTATCAGAAACACCAGACTCCCTCAAAGGCGAAGATCTCTTCCTCCCAATGGGAAAAGGAGTGGTTACCTTCTCATTATTCCCACTGGATCCGGTATTTTTCTTCACCCCCGACCTAGGTGGTGGCAGCTTGATCTCTTCCTCCAGCCCAGTCGACCTAAATTTCGAATTAAAAGTCTTGACAGTTTTGGGCCTGGACGTGTCCTGAGAGTTCTTCCTATTTTCAATCGAAATTGATATATTTTTTTTCTCAAGAACCCCCTGAATGGCCTCCTTTTTAGGATCAGTCTTATCCTTGTTCTCCTTGGAGCTGTCCCTGGAGTCAGTCGATGATTTTCTAACAGAACCATCAGCCTTCTCCTCCTCAACTTTTTTCTTCGGTATTTTTCCAAATTTCGTGCTGAGTGACTGTCCCTGGACCTTCTCAAGCGTTGCCTTGTCCTTCTCCGCTTGATCCTTCTTCAATTTCTCCTTCTCTCTCTCCCTGTCCCTCTCGGATTTACCCCTGGAGCTGCTGGAGTGTCTGTGCCTGTCCTTATCCCTGGAAGACTTGCTGGAGCTGCTCTTGGAGCTGCTACCACGGTGTGACGAGGTCGATCTGTGTGAACTCCTCGAGCTTGAGCTGTGGCTCCTCTTCGAGCTGTGACTGCTCTTCTTCTCAACAATTTTCTCCTCCTTCTTGGGTGAATCCCTGTTCTCCTTGTCATTTGACTTACTATCACTACAATCTTTGACATCAATCACATCTTCCTTAAAGCTAATTAATATGTCATTCACTTCACCAGATAATTCAACACTGTTATCAGCTTTAATTCCATCATCATTACCCTCTACCTTGTCATTATCATTACCCCCATTATCAGTACACTCTACATTACTAGGGCTATCGCAAACAGGTATACTCTCAGCGTCAGGACCAACTCTCGTCAATACTTGTTTACCATCTCGTATTGTTATTTTATAAACAGGCACAGCTGATGCACCTTGGGATGCACTCTGTTGTGATAACTGCTGTGAGCTCTGTCCTACACTCGAAACAAGTACAAACGATTGTTTCTTTATTTGCGTTGGCTGCGTCTGCCCTGGAAGTGTTTTATTAACTATTTCTAATTGAACAGGTTGGATATGGATCATGGAATTCTTATCGACAAATTGCTGATCTTGTGATTCCTTTGGGTTTAGATCCTGTACTTTGACTGTTGTTATCTCTGGAGTCTTCACCAGGTCGGCATCTGGCTTTGGTGTCTCTGGCTGCTGTGGCACTGAGTCCTTCACCAGTTTTAACCATTTGTCTACTAGGCGGAGGGCTAGCAGTCGGACGCCCTGGTGGCTTTCCTCTTTTGACAGCGTTTTCACCAGCTTTGGGTTGTTGTTTGATTTCAGTCGTTGGATGTTCACTGGTGACAGCAGCAGGAGCTCCAGTAGCTCTTGGATCAGCGCCCAATTCTGGGCGAATATCGCGTCTGTCAACCATACGTGCACCAGGTCCCATCCCCCAGTGTTCATGAATCTGGAATTGTTTTTATGGGTCAATTGATTTTTTTCCATTTTTTTTTTCTTTCGATTCTCTCTACAGCTGAAGAATTTCTATTCTGTATTGAATATTTTTGAGGAATTATTTCAGGGATTACACATTATTTTGAAGCTCTTCAGAATTTGGGGAATTGATTTATAATAATTTAGGACAGATTTTTATTCTGGGGCTGAATCAAATCTGTGGAGAACAATTCGTTATAAATATTCGAGACAATAAATTTTTGAAACAATTTGTTTCATTAACGTTGCAGTAATTATTTCGAATTGTGTCTTGTTCTCTAATTCTCGGAATAATTACAATTTGTTTAATATAATTCTTTGGTTAAATAAATATTTAATTGTTAATTGAGGAGTAAAACAAAAGTTTTAAAGCATAAAATAAGATATAAATATAAAAAAAATATTCTGTAATTACAGATAATTTAAGATAATGCAAAAATTAATTTTTGATGTGTATTGAGGCAAATTGTTGAGTAATTTATTTAATTAACGGAGAGAATTGGATTTTATCTGTTGGACACATATCAGTAAGTTCGACTCCTGTGTTGAGTCGCCCAATGGTTCAGAGTCCATTTTATCTCGCATGTTTACATTTTTTCCCGTACCACAAACCCACTGATAAGGTAATGATACGGCTCAACATGCCATTGAACCCAAAAAAAAATTCCGGACTAATTACCCACCCCCACCAATTACCAAAAATTCTCAAACTCGAATTTCCACCGCTCCCAAATCCCGAATATCTCGAGAACCATCGACTTCCTGAAAAAATTCCAAGACACCTTTTTCCTTGGGAATTCTATTCCCCTTAAAAAAGTCCCCGACAACTTCCCTCTCAAATCGATACCTCACGAGATAAATCGATAATTAGAAAAATTAAAAAATGAAAATTTTAAATTTTTTCCAGAATTAATTTTTCTGGTTGTAAAAAAAAATGAGAAAAATCGGATAATTATCACTTACTGATCAAGCAAATCTGGATTCGTGGTCTTGAGTATCTGGACGTAGATGCATTTGGACACTAGCTTCTTGGAAAATTTAGTCATGAGTGTGACCAAACGATCGACTTCCTTGATTCCCTTGATGTCACCACTTGGGCCCAATAAAACGCTCAGGCAATTGAGCAACGCCAACGGGTCAATGCGCGGCTGCAATGAGAATAAATAAATGATTACCGAGTGAATGGATTTCTGTGAACTCGTGATAAAATGAATAATCCCACGAGAAAAGCTGAATTGCTACCAAAACATTCCCATTCACGAAATTTATTCATTTAAATTTATCCTTCTCTAATTATTAATAAATTTATGAATATTAAAATATCTTCAACCACAACATAATTTTTTAAAATTAAATTAAGGATTATATAATTATGTAATTGACTTTCAAAGAAATTCCATTGATTTTCAATAATACAACGAATTGTTTAAACATATGAATTTTTTTTTTAAATCATGAATGAGATAAATTTATTTTAAAATTCCCAAAATCCTGAGTGGATTTAAAAAAAATAAATATCGTCTCATTATTTAAATATTTAAATAATAAACAAAACCGATTATAATTAAAACCATAAATCCATGAGGTCATCGTACAACCACAACTCGACAGCTGGCGCCATCTTTTTCCCCAACTCCCACCACATGGGCGTCTTCCCAGAATAATTTCCCAATCACAAGTAAAATGAAAAAAAACAAAAAACTATCCACTTAACCACACACACGATTACTCAATTAACAAATAAACTTACCATCTTAACAAAAACAAATTCACTCTTATTCAGTCTAGACGAATCGATCGAGCAAAATCATTGCGATCTGTAAGAAGAAAATTGACTTTAAGAAAAATTACAAAAAAAATATTCTCCATCAGACAGACGGTGTCCGCCATTTTCCTGTCATGAAATCAATTTCTCACAATTTGGAAAATTACTCGAATTACTCAAATTACTTCAATAACTCCAAAGTTATTATTTTTATTCTCAAAGGAAAAAGAGGAAAGTCCTCTTTATTTTTTTTAAATTTAGTTAATTATCTCGACCTATCATGTGTGAAAAAAAAATCGTGCAATGGATGAAAAGAATGATTTCATTACTGTTATTTAATCCTGAGATATTTCTCGCTCAAGCAGATAAATGAACTCGAAAACTAGTTTATCTTCTTTTTATTTCGGTGGAATTATTTATTGAGGATAAACCTCTTGGTTGAATAACGCGATGGAAAATAATGGCGATACAGATAAAATGGAGTCCTCGTTGCTAAAGTCTTTGCTGACTAGTCACCTTCTGTGATTTCCTCGTCCCCCAGCCCCCGATGGAGCCCCATGCACCAGAGGACCAATGGAAAATTAGGAAAATCACTCACAACCAATAGCTCAACTCCATTACCCCACCACAGGCCTCGTGAGGAAGGGGGATTCCCCTCTCTCGGGGTATTTCGGTCATGCTCGCTCGACTTTCTATTTTTAGAAAATATTTTTCACACCGAAATCGGCAATTCCTCGACGTTACATATTTTTCTGGAATTTGTATTAAAATTTACGTGTCAGTCCCGCGAGAATTTTCTCCTCAATTTTTCAAAATTGCACGATTTTTTTTTAACAATTGTATCTTTTAATTTTCAGACTTTCAAAATTGCACGATTTTTTTTGAATGAACAAAATTCCTGGATTTTTCGAAATTCTTTTAATCAATTTCTTCTTCAATTTTTCAAATTGCACGATTTTTAAAACTTGACGTGAGAATTTATTTTTGATTTCATTAAACTTTTCGATTTTTTAAATTCGATTCAAAAATGTAAAAGGAAAATTCATTTTTCTTTTCAACTCTTCCAGAATTTTCTTTAAATTTCCACGATTTTCTCCACAAGTGTGTAAAACCCCAGAATTTCCCGATTCCATTCCAATCACAAATGACTCTCACATGAAAAAAATAAAAATAAAAAAAAACAAATAAATGAACAATCCTGCACGATTTTTCACCACGCGACGTGCATACCCCAGACACCCTTAATAATTCAAATAAAAAAATTCCACTATTCTCCCCCGAAATAAACAATCAAATCGCATGACGTCATCACTAACCCGACACGATCAATAACCACAAGATCATATAAATATATTGTGTTTAAAAAATAGCTTGAAGGATTTTTCATTGATTTTCGAATAATGAAATAAATAATTTCGTGAACCTTGAGCGGTCGATACGACTTACATTCGCATAATTCTCCTTATGGATTACCGTACGTCCCAACGTAATTGTATAATAAAATTATGGCATTTGGTTATACAATTGACGGCTGTCATGGGATTTTAATCTATGGTTTTCTAGCTTTGATTTTTTTTTATTATTTTGATAGATTTTGTTAGGTCGGACTGGGTGGCGTCGACTACCTCATGGGGCTTTCTTTTTTTCGAGAGAGATTATGGGTGGTGTCTCTTCGATAATCCGCATATATTTTCTCGTCAACCTGCCATCTGTAACCAAAAACCCAGTCAATCGTTGGTGGGTTATTTTCACAATTATTTTCACTAGTTATTTCAATTGTTTGGTACGTTTTTCTGGAATATTTATCGGAATAACGGCAATGTGGTTTATGCTCACCTAACTACGTAGCACCAGTTGTTGGAACGATACCGGAAATACGGCTGAAGTCGTCAGATTTGGGTCGATAGTTACTGGTGGAGTCATTTGGCAATTGTACTTCCGGTTTTTGAATTTGGATTTTCCATTATTCGAATCGATTTTTGGAGTTCTCACTTTTTTTTAAGAAAATCTCAAGATCTAAGGGACATACGACGATTTTTTATTGAACCTTTTTTGTAGAGCGGATTCGTAGCTACAAAAAAGGTTCTATATAAAATTTAATTATCTCTTATACTAGTGGAGATATATTCCAAGAAATTTCACTGGTTTCAATCGACTCGATTTTTAAAATCAATTTTCTACTGATTTCCATGAATTCAAGTTTTTTTTTCTAGTTTTCAGTCCCAAAAATATTTACCTCTGTTTAATCAAGGGTTAATTAATTTATTAAATAATTATTTATATCTTTCCAGAGATTTTTATGACTTTAGATGAGGAATTGACTGGAGTTGTGGCTCGAGGGTTCTCATTCCTTTCGATTCACTCGCGTGTAATTGCGATAATAATAACCTCTACCAAATTATTTCAATTTCAATTATTAATTGCATATTATTGAGGATTGGGGGAAGTACGAAGGAAATTTTTTGGTGGCCATGGCATCTTTTTTGAAGTTGAGACAAGTCCTGAGGGCTGACATCCTCCAGAAGGTGAGGAATTGGGAATTCGTTGAGAGGAATTTTGTTTTCCAGAATAAGTAATTGCCACTTGTATTTAGATTTCAGTGAGGAATTTATCTCGAGGAAGTGTTTTATTCGAAGAAGAGGATGAGGGTAATGAGGTGAGCGAGAGTCCAGAGGGTAAGAGTGAAAATATTCATCCTTCCAAGGATCGGAGGAAACCGATGCCCGTGGAGACGAGCATTCGATATTTAGCCAGTGAAGCATACAAGGAGACTTATGGTTCAGCCCCGGTGTGGAAGCCGTACAGGAGGAACCACAAGGGCGCATTTCCCCCCCAGAAGACGAGGAAAACTTGCATCAGGCAGGGAATAATCACAACCGGAAACGCCTGTCCCATCTGCAGGGACGAATACCTAGTGCTGGACCACAGGAACACTTCTCTCCTGAATCAATTCATCTCTGAATTCAATGGGGAAATAATAAGTTATAAAAAAACAGGAATTTGTCAGAAGCAACACAAACAACTCCTGATAGCTGTCCACAGAGCCAAGGACTACGGAACAATAACATTCGACGTTCCACAGAGAAAATACAATTACTCAGACTGGTACAAGCCAGATGCATCCTCAAAATCCCCCGAATTATCCCCCAAAACAATTCAGGAACACTCATAATTTAATTAATAATAACTAATAATTAATTCTCACCACCTCTTCAATTTTTTTGAGAGTTAAAAAATTTTCAAATTCTGAAATATCACTGAATTCAATCCACAAATTGAGAAGATTCACGAATTTTCATTATTTCATCTTGTAAAATTCTCTCATTATATTTTTTTAAAAGAAATTATTAAATTTTCTAATAATTTCAAATCGATAATTGATCAGATCTTTGATTTAAGGCCAAAAAAATTTGGGAATTAGTCAAAATAAATTAAAAATCGCAGAAGAAGAGCCCGAGACCTTGAGTTTCCCCGATGGAGGCGACATTTGTGATAATCGGTGGAGGAATATCCGGAGTGACCTGTGCCAAGGGGTTGGGGTTCCTGGCGCCTGAGGAATCAGTGATCCTGATCACCTCGACTCCCTTAATAAAAGTTGTATCCAGTGTAGTTCCTCAGGGGAAGCTCTCAGTGTCCCTGAACATCACCGAGGAGACGATCTCATCGTTATCCCCAGATCACCCCACCCTAAGAGTCCTGGAGGACACAGTGACGATGATAAATCCCGAGGAGAAACTCCTGGAGACCTCCACCAAGAAGACAATAAAATTCAAAAAGCTTTGCATCTGCACTGGAGCAAGACCCCGGCTGATCTCCCCAAATCCCCACGTCCTAGGTATCCGAGACACCGAATCAGTGGAGAATTTCTCCCAGAGGATATCCAAATCGAAAAAAATCCTGGTGATAGGAAACGGTGGAATAGCAACTGAAATCGTCTACAAAATAAAAAACGTGGATATCGTCTGGGCGATAAAGGACAAGCACATCTCAGCGACATTTGTCGACCCCGGAGCTGCTGAATTCTTCCTATCGAGATTATCAAATCCCCAGGAAGACGAGGAGAGAGTGAATCCCTGCAAGAGAATAAAATACACAGCGAGAGCAGAAAAAACTGGAGAAATAGCTGGAGCAGCCCTGGGTCCAGACTGGGACGAGATCCTCACCTCCAGGGGCTCCAGTGATGCCTCCAGGAGAGTCGAGATCGAGTGCGAGTGTGAGATCACCAGAATAACGAGTGAAACACCTCCTGGAGGAGGTGACTGGCCAGTTTTTGCTGAATTGTCAACCGGAAAAATCGTGGGGTGTGATCTGATCGTCTCAGCAACTGGAGTCACTCCTAATTCTGATATCATCGGTCTGGAGAATTTGGAGAAGAGTGAGGATGGTGGACTCCTGGTGGACTGGAAGATGGAGACATCTTCTGGGGATATTTATGCAGCTGGTGACGTGTGTTCGGCCAATTGGCAAATTGCTGATCACTGGATGCAGATGAGACTCTGGACTCAGGCCTATCAGATGGGATCCTACGCTGCCAAGGTCATGGCATCGACTCTCAGGAAGGAGATGTTCCTCCAGGACTTTTGTTTCGAATTGTTCACACATGTCACCAACTTTTTTGGGTATAAAGTCGTGCTCCTGGGGCTGTACAATGGCCAGCGACTCCTCGGGGACTACGAGGTCATCCTCAGGGTCACCAAGGACTTGGAATTCGTCAAACTCGTCGTCAAGGGGGGAAAACTCCAAGGGGCAGTGCTCATTGGGGAAACTGATCTCGAGGAAATGTGTGAAAATCTTATTCTTAATCAATTGGACATTTCCCAATTTGGGGAACACTTGCTCGATCCTGATATCGATATCGAGGATTATTTCGATTGATTCTATCGAGATAATTGAATTCTAAATAATTTTTCGATAAAATTCCTTTTCTGTTAAAATATTTAAAAAAATCCAGTGAGAGGATTCAGTTTTTTTTGTTAAAAAAGAGAAATAAAGAAATAATTGGAGGGGGTTAATCGATTATTAATTAATAATAATTATTAATTTATAAAATAGGAGAGAATATTGAGAATAGAAATATAATTGCGAGGAATTTTTACTTTTCATTTGAAAATAATTAAGGATTTTGTCTTTTTGGTTGAGATAATAATTATGAGTCAAATTACAGATTGTTTATGACTACTGAGAAATATTCAGATGTTGTTCATTAATAAAACATTGAGGAAAACGACTGGAGATTAATCCTTTACAAAGTCTGGGCGATAAAAACTTGATTGCCACGATTTATGGCAATTTTTTTGTTTCCTTTATGTTTCGATTCGTAATTTCGATTCGGAACTGAAAAAAAATCCCCTCAAAGACGATAAAAACAAAAATACCATTTGTTTAATTATAAATTAGATTTGAATGAATCTAAATCGTTTTTTCTAATTATCAGAAAATCCAGAAAACCAAAAAAATTTCGATTGAACATCAAAATATCGAGATGAAACAAAAATACACTTTATTATTTATGAATTATTTCTCAATTTTTAATAACTTTTGCTTAATAAAAAGTTTATTAATCTTAAATAAAGGCAAGACATAAAAATACTGAAAGTTATAAAAATCTGTACAAGCGTCAGGTATTTAATCTCCCAAAACAATTCACTGATAAAAAAATGGACTTTTGCCAATAGAATTATTTTAGTCGAGGGATTAATTAATTTGTTATAGCAATAACAAAATCTTTGATCATTGGCTTTTAGAAACTATTGAACATCAAAACGCACGGTTTTCCCAGGAGTGTCCTGGGGTGGTGGCTTTTTGGAATGATTTTTCGTCAGTGTCTTCTTCAGGGACGCGAGGATATCCTGGACAATCGAGAGGGATTTGTTGACTTCCCCGCTGACGTCGTCGCCCTCGTGGTGGCAGAGTTTCCCCAGGGTCTTCGCAGCGATCTCCATCTGCAGGAGGCAGGACTTCATGTCCTCTCGTCTCTGGGTCACCACTGGATCCTCCAGGACCTCCAGGAGGGAACCGTTGAGGGACAGCTGGAGGAGACTTTCGTTTAATTGTCTCTTGATTGGGGTGAGGTTTATGGAGATGCGACTGGTGTCCAGGGGGTCCTGGCTGTCGTCCAGGGGCTCCCACGGCTCCGGGGAGTCTGTCAGGTTCTCGTCATTCTCTCGGAGATGTTCCATCCACTCCAGGAATTGGAGGGGCTCCCAGAATGACTCCAGTCTTTTTAGTTTGTCTCTCACGCGAATCATCGAACGCAGGCCGTTATCAGTTATTAATTTTTGCTGGACGAATTCCTGGAAATTTATTTGGTATTTAAAGAGTTTTTTTTAGGGAATCAGTGGAAAATTCTTTACGATTCAACCCGATGATCGAATCATTTTTCTCAAGGACAAGTGATTGTGCAATTGCAATTCGAGAGGATAATTTGCGTTTTACTCAAGAATAAAAATTGAAAATTAATATAATAATAATAATAATAATAATAATTGTTAATTATAATAAGATAATGATCATAATTGTTTATTTGAGAAGTAGTGAGAAAATTCTTCGTAATTTATTTTCATAGTTAAATAATTTTTTAATGCAAAAATGGCATTTTAATGTCGAAAATTTTTGGTTTTTAGTGAGTATCTTCGAATTTTGAGGGGATAGCAAAAATTTCGTGAGAGTCTTTTTTGTCGCGCAAAATGAGAGCTACAAAAAATGTAGATATAAAAATTTCTGTATCTCCCGTGAATCCCGAGATATTCATCGAGATCTGATTTGTTTTCAAGTGCAACTGGGATATCGCATTTTGCAATTCGTTCGACTTTTATCGCACACCGCAAATTGTCGATAGCACGACAGTATTTTACAGAGGCGAACCGCATTATCCAACTGCGCAGCAATAACTCGACGTTCGAAAATAGAATCGTATTTTCTGATCGAGAATTTACCACGGGATCAATCGATTCATTCCACAAATATTTCGACTTCCATTTATCTTAAACAATTGCATTTACAATAATTTCCGTACGTTTTATTCTTCAATTTTGTTTATTGATTTTTCACTTTTGTTTATTTATTGTTCAATTTGTTTTTTCCAAAAAAAAAAGGTCAAGAAAAGAAAAAAAAAATCGGGCTCGTCCGGGATTTGAACCCGGGACCTCTCGCACCCTAAGCGAGAATCATACCCCTAGACCAACGAGCCTCACATGCTAGTAACAATTTCAAAAAATTCCCCACACCATAAATTCGAATAATAATCCAAAAAATAAAAAAATTCTCATCCAATATTTAATAACATTAAATAAATAAACAATTACTTTTCCAATTGATTTCACCAAATATTCCAGTCAACAGACATTTCAATATAAAACAATTAGTATCAATAATAAATAAACTCAATAAATAATAATAATTAATAATAATTGAGGATTGAATATCGAACAATTTTTTATTCGAATCGAATGAATAAATGAATGAATAAACGTCATTAGCAATAAAATAATGAGATAAGATTCAACTTACGTAATTGAGGCCAATGTCACGAGACCTCTCCTTGGCCTCCCTGACGAGGAGCTGCATCTCGTGCAAAGTGATTCTATCCCTGGTGTCGTGTTCCTGAGGATGATGACTGGTTTCAGTGAGAACCTTCTCCAATTCATCGAGGAAATTTGATCGATACGGGGATACCCGAGAGGCATCTGGCATTTTTTCACTGGAGTTCCTCTCAATCTCACGTGTAAGCATCTCCTTCTCGATCTCCAGCTCTCGCTTCATCCTCGTTACCTCCACCAGTGCCTTTTTCTGCTGCTCCAACGTCGACCCCAGAGACTTGATTTCCATTTCGTAATTGAGTTTTTGAGATCCCAATTGAAGCTCTATCTCCCGTTTCGCATTTTCCAGTTCCTTTATCGCCTTCTGCTTCGACTCCTCCAGTTCCTTTCGCAGTCTGGGTACATAAGGTAATTCATAATCGATAATTTATCGACAATTAATCATTAATTAGTGATACAATTAATTAATTCGAGTGAAGTCTGATAAATCCAATTTTAGTCGGGATTAAAAAGGGGTAATCTCGGGGATCTAGTACTCCCACGAAAAAAACGCTAGAGGACTTTTTTCTGGGAAATTTTATCAGCTAAAAAAAAGTCCTCTGTGGTTTTTTTCTTGAATGAGGGGTTTTTGGGATAATTTGAGAGGAATGAAATGGAGTACTGACTTGTCTTCTTGTATCGTGAGGATTTCTTGATGTGCGAATTCGTAATCAACAGATTGCGAATTGCTCTGTACACTGATATCCCCTGGATTGCACACCTTGAAGTAGTGATTACCTCCGACCACTAGACGATCTCCATGTTTCAGTGATATCTCGTTACGTACGATCTGTATTTTAATTTACAAAAATTCAATTATTTTCCATTCAATCTCGACATGACAGCGAATTAATTACGAGTAATACCTGTCCATTTACGTAGGTATCGCTGTTCTCTTCAGGTCTCAATGTCAACTGACCGTCATTGTTCTCAATTGTACTAAAAAAAAATAAACAATAATTACAACAACGGTATTTAACGAGAATCTAAAATCCCGATTTTCCAAAAACTGATCTTTAAAATTGGAATTCTCTTGTAAATTCCCGTAAATTCGAGAGAATCATAATTATAATTAAGAATGATTACTCATTAATTCTTTTAATTGTCTAACCAATGGAGGGGCGAGACGAGAGGTCCACTGAGGAGAATATCTGGAGAGACAGAGGATCTGCTCGTCCCCTGGGTGTTTCTTCCTATCGAGACTGACCCCTGGGGAATTAAATACAGGAGAGTACCGGAGAGGATCGGATCCGGAGCCAAGTGAACGAGACATGGGGATTTTATATTCTCCGGGAAATCAATCTCCACAGCTATTCCACAACGTCGAAGAATATTCAGTTCCACGTCCTTTCGCTGTTCTGCTTCCTCCAATTTCTCTGACCACGATCTAAAAATTATTCCATTCATCATTAAACTACCTTTAATTAATAACAATAATAAATAAAATATTTTCAACAATTTATCATGATTCCACGATTTTAATTTGTATTTTAACATCAATTCTGGAAAATAATCGACTTTATGAGGAAATTCAAGAAGTTTTTAAAATGAAATTTCCCGGGAAAAAATGCCTCTGCAATTTCCACCGGAAGTGAATTGATTTACTAATGGATGAATAATCGAGGAAATTGTAAATTAGATTTATGCGACGTCTTGGGGATAAAAAATGGCGATGAATCAGAATAGTATGTTGTTAATTTAATACGCACTGACTTGAGAGATGAATAAAGATATTTTATTATCAGCGCTGATCCGGCATAACTCAGGAGTGACGACAGTGAAGATAAGACATTTATTATCGTGTTGCTGGAGTAATGAATGTCTCTTTATTATTTTAATTTGCGAATTTAGTCTCATTATATAATTAATAATTTATTCATTAACTGGGCTGTAAAAATTAATGGGCTGATACCGAAAGTCAGGGGAGATTGTTCGGCTAATTGGTGTCAGGTCAGCCAAAAGACTGAGTCGTAATTGCCAATATTGACAGATCGAATAGAAATTGACAGATTGATCGATTGGCAGATGAAATTCCCAGAGATTAAACAATTCTGATAGAATCAAAAACTAGGCAATCAATTTTCGGGGAATAACTCGGAATCGATGGAAGATAACGGAATTTTGATTATTACCTTTTTTATAGAGAAAAATCACAGCTACGAAAAAGGATTCCACAATAATTCCGCTATCTCTTACCGATTCCAAGATATTCAATAACAAAATCAATAACTCCTAGTCGAGCTCATCCCAAAATTCCATCAGATCACCTTCAAGTTTTTCCGGGATATCTCGATAACTACGGGAGACAGAAAATCCTTGTAAGGACCTTTTTCCTAGATCCCAATCGGGACTACAAAAAAGGTCGAACAAATTTTCCCGTGACCCGAGCGGTTTCCGAGATTCTCGGCAAAATCATAACAGAGCTCTTACTTCTGCGACAATTTCAGCTGCTCCTCAGTCTGCCTGAGCTGCTTCCTCAGTCTCTCGATCTCCCTCTCCTTGTCCATCATCTCCTGGTCACTCTGCCCCACATCTCTCCTCACCCTGGGCCCCACCTGCTTCTCGTAATTCTCCCGGACTCCTCGCAGTCTCAAAACTTCAGCCTTCAACTCTCTAAAAAAATCATCAAATTAATCCACAAGATTTCAATAATCTCCAGCTAAATGTACCTTATCAATTTATCGTGCGGATCCTCGTTGATTCGCACACGATTAACTATCGATCTAGCTTGACAGGCGTATCTCAAGGTCGCCAGTGTCTCCTCCAGGTGCAAACTACTTGGTGCAACTGTTGCTAGCATCGCAGTCTTAGAATTTCCTCCGAGGCTTTCCTGAAATCATTAAAGGTCATTATCGAACTTGATATCGACTTCCGGGTTCTCCATATCGATCAAACACCTCCGAGGAAAACAAAATTTCCATTTCTAGGAATTTTTCCTTAATTGCAACTCTATTAATTTTTTTATTTCCTATCAATTTCTCCAGAGCGAAATTTCTCTGAATTTTAACAAAAAATATTATAATAATATAAAAAAATATATTTTTACAGTCAATTATTATATATCGTCATTATTATTATATTTTTATTATTGTATTATTATTTAGATAAAATATTCCGGGGAAATTTCATTTATTTTTCATGTTTTCTTTTTAATTCTGCGAGTTGGGGAATGACGAGAGAGAGAGACATATATTCTAAATAATTATTAGAATTATTTAATAATGAATAATTAATAATTGTTGGAAGAGGGGAGAGCAAGGAAAAAGTTAATGATTCGATAAATTCAATTGTCAGATTAAAATGATGAGTAATAAAATGGAAATGAATGAGTGGCATTTATTTTTTACAGGAAACCGAGTTAATTTTTCGCTTCTTGACTGAACGAACTTAATTATCGGTAATTAAGTGAAGCAATTATTTACTGTAATGACTTCGCATTAGAAAACAGTCATCCTTGAAACGGAGGAAAAATATTTGTTAATTCGAGTGAAAAAGTACGAAATTTCGTTATAAATATTTCCCTGAATCAGGGGATAATCCCAAACATTCATAATAACAATATAATAATAATAATCCCAATTAATAAAATCCGGAATTATTCCTCCGATTTTCATAAATTTTTAACGAAAAAAAAATCGAGGAATTCCGAATTTTTCGATTTCTCGCGCGTTAAATTCCATTTTATACAAAATAATAATAATAATAATGAATTAATGAACCCCCTAGGTGAAACATTTTATATATATGTTTTTTATGTACTTGATGAACGTAAAAAATATTTATTTTCCGTTTGCCAGAATGTGAGGGAATTTTTTCGATTTAAGTCGCGATTTCAATTTATTTAATAAAATTTTTTATCTCATTGCAAACAGACCGTCTCACGCGAGTTGATACAGAGACGCAATTGGTAATTAAAAAGCCCCTCCCCCCTGGAGTAGTATGAGTAAAAATATGCGCATGCAGCCTCGGTACGTAATTCAAAACAAAAATAACTGTTTACGTCTACTGAATGAGCCAATGGAAATCTCATTGCGCTGTCTAATTCTATTCCTATTTCAATCCACTATCCTAAAACTATATTTGTACTAGCTATTAATTACTCAAGAATTATTCACGCCTCCAGGTCCTATCAGGGTCCTAATCAGGAATAAATAATCCTGATCAGATGCAGCAGGCGTTGAACTCGCACAGCCGTTCAATCTCGATTTATCGGAAAACCACTGGTTTCACCAAAAAACCCCAGAGGACTTTTTCACCGGAAATTTAATGAGCCACAAAAAAATCCTCTATCATTTTTCGCTGAGATCGATAGGTTTCGAGATGTATCGATAATTGAGAAAAATTAGAAATTGGACTTTGCAAAAATTGTAGCCGAAATCGAGTCATTTCCAGGGGATTCTAATTACGTTTCAATTACGATAATCATGAGAATTATCTCAATTAAACATTCGGGAATATCAGATAAATAATAACAAATACATTAATTGTCTCGTGATGCACCCGACCTCGAATGAACTCCAATGATTATTAATAATTTTCAAAAATTCGCATAATCTCGGGGGAAAAATTTCGATGAATTTTCCGATACCCGTAATTATTGAGAGAGATTCACTCGAGGTGGTCCCGTCTCCTCCTCTGGAGCAATATAATTGTCAAAATTGAAACGCAGTGGGGCTTCCCTGGAGATGACTCGACTGGAAAAATATTGAAGGGCCGATGTGGGTGTGGATAAATGGGTCAAATATTTCTCTCGACGTTCCCGTGTACGTTGCATCTGTCACGTTCACCAAAAATCCCTGGGGGTCTAGAAAAAATAAAGCAAAGAGACATTAGCCATTAGCTCCCACGAGCAAAATCCCAATGGGTGGTGGAAGGCTCGACCTGTTCTCAGAGAAAAAAAACGAGCACCGAAGGCCAGAGTGGGAGAGGGTAAAGCAGCTCTCACTGGTAAACATTGCGTTCCTCTCATTACACCGTAGTACAGAATAAAACGCCGTTGCAGTCATAACAGCTGCACCTCTGAATCCTCTGAGTCCAAGTGGTAAAACCAGTTTTTCCCTCTTTCGTAATAAAATTCAACTGGTGAAATTAATTCGATGGGCTATTACCACAGGCTACATTATTGATATCAATTTTATCTGCAGCACGAGTGATTTGCTAAATATAACTCGAGTTGTGGGGGAAAATAGCGAGAAATCTTGTGAGAATTTCATGTCGCTGTCGAGATTGGAGAATTCAGGAAAATGGATTTTGTTTACATGCCTGAGGTACTGGCTTATGGTCCTCTGAGGACACCTGTTTATCGGGATTACGAACAACCTTGGAACAAGGATTACTTCAATTACGGTGGGTTACTGCGGAAATTCAATTATTAAAACAGAAATATTTAAAAAAAAAACAGGCTTATTCTGATTTTTGCACGGTATCTCAGAATCGGAGCTAGATAACGAAATTCTTGTGATAACCTTTTTTATCCGCGAGGACGAGACCTATGAAAAAGGCCTCTATCAAATTTTTGTGGGACCTCTAGGTGAGGAGATATCCAGGAATAACAATATGCGATTAACGTTGCGTTTCGGAATTTCGAAGGTAAAGATAAAAGTTTGGAATTTCGTGAATATCTCAGGAGATAATGGTGATAGCGAAACGTACAAAGGACCTTTCCCGTAGATCTAAACCTCGCGGACAAAAAAGGTTATTATAAAAATTACGCTATCTGACGCGGATTTGGAGATATCCGGTGGCGAGTGACTGGAGCTGCTGGAGTCGTTTGGTTAATTAGTTCTGGGGTTTAATTGGTTAATTATTCCTGGAATTTTGGGAGTTGATTGAAATTTGAATGATTTATATTCAGGGAAGTCATCGAACCAGGGTAATCACCAGGAGAGGGTCTCGTCGCAGAAGTCTAAGTGCGATCAGTGTCATTTGTGCAAGCAAAATAAGAGGCGAGTCCTGGGGACCTACTTCAGGAAGAGTCGCTCCAACTCCTGCAATGACATCTTCGAGGAGAAAGAAGAGGAGGATGAGGTCGGGGATAACGAAAAAGCTCAAGCTCAGAAGAGAACTGGAGAAATAAAATCCAAGCTCTCGGTTATCAACCCGAGGAAGAGCTGAACGGACTGGTGAGACTCTGTGAGACAAGATTGAGTTGTTGTTAATTTTAATTGTTTATTTTATGTAGATTGTAAAGTAGTTTTATATTGTTTTGTATTTTAAATGTTCGAGTGTTAATGCTGAATTAATTATATTGTGAGGGACTCCAGTTTTATTGGTGGAAAGGATTTAGAGTGAATTTTGGAGGTGAAGGCCATGGATTTCTGGAAAATTCTGGAAAATTCTGAAAACTCTGAGAATTTTTGAGAATTTTTGGGAATTTTTGGGAATTTTTGGAAATGAAATTTCATGGAGAAATGGGAATTTTTTTCTTGGGAATTTTTTGCTTGGAAATTTCGAAAGTTAAGTGGAAATTCTGGTGGAAAATTGATGCGGGAAATTGAAATATTTTACAGGGAAAATGAATTATGAATTTCCACTGGAAAATTTGGGGTTTTTCAAGGAAAATTATGAATTTTCCAGGCAAAATTCCAAAAATTTCAGGGAATCGTCTCTCATTTGAACGTGAAAACCAGAAAAACTAGATAAAAAATTGAAACAATTTTTGACAACGTCAATGTCAAGTACAGAGAATTCCAAGATAGCACGTCTCCAGTATCTCGAGAAAAATGGAATAGCCTTGCGCTTTGTTCAGCGAGTAAACACTATCCATCATCATTTTTACAAATTGTTTAATCATCATTACTACAAGTGCCAACCCACGTCTTACGCTGCGTTAAATTGTGAGAAGACCTCAACAATTCTTATCGCAAGTAAATATTATTGAGGACAATTTACAGCTTTCATAAACAAAAATATTTGCCGGGTAAAAAATGTTGAGGTTTTCCGCCGGAATTTCGAGAGAAATTCGCCAGAGAAATGGTAAAGTGAGACAATTCCATTTCAGACTCGGTAAACACCAACGAATCTCGAAACCTACTGATTTTACAAAAAAAACCTATACCACCTTTTTTATTCAAAATTTTCTGACCGACAAAAAAGTCCCTTGACACATCCGTCTGAAATCGATATTTTCCGAGATAATCGATAATTAAGAAAAATTGAGTAATTGTGAAAATGGAGCAATCCGATTTTTCAAAGTCGATAAACACCGGTGAATCTCGAAAACTATTGATTTTACAAAAAAATATCATATGACCTTTTTCATCAGAAATTTCTTGACGCACAAAAAAGTCTTTCGACAATTCCCTCCGAAATCGATACTTTTCGAGATAATGGACAAGTAAGAAACAGTAATCGTGTTAATGTCATTTTACCTTCGATCGTTAATTTTTAATTAGTGTAAATAATTCATACTTTGAGAGAGATAAAAAGATGTAAAGGTTTTTGATAATAACTGTTAATGAAGACAAATCATTTTGATAATTAGATCTAAGTGAAATATCCTTTGTATTTGTATTTACACTCCCCGAATATTTTTAGAAATTTAATATCCGATTTTTAAATCCGAATGCTTCGAAAAATATTAAAAAAATTAATGAATATTCAGTTCCACATAAGCATTCACTCCTTATGAATAATTAATTGAAATTGTCTGATTACCAAGAATAATAATAAATTTTATATTCCACTGTTGACCTTCTGGATAATTCCAAATGCTCACAAATACCTCCTAAATACACTCCCTAATTATTTAACAAAAAAACCGTAAAGGACTTTTTTGTTGCTTAATGAATTCCCTAAAAAAAAAGTCTTATAACATTTTTCCCTAAGACCAATAGTTCTCATTTATTTTCAGAAATTAAGAGATAAGCTTCGAATCAACTTGAATCCCGAGTTTTTGCGAAATATTTCGAAATTCGAAGAAGATAGCAAAATTTTGAGTAGAACCTTTTTTCTTGAGCGATTCGAGTTCTACAAAAAACCTAAGGACAACTATTTACCTATCTCCTCAAGATCCCGAGATATCGCTCAAAAACCCAAATTACCAAAATCGACTTGATGTTTTACTTGACAGTTGCCTGAATTTTCAAAATTCGTCAAAAAATTCTGCAGTCCGTGAAATTCAAATTCGTAGAGGGCAATCGCGTCGACTCCTGGTGCACACGGTGCCAATAGGCCATAAAAGGAAATTGAATCGTCTTGTAAGTGAAAATTCCTGAAATTTCGAAATTTGGAGTGAAAATTCGTCGAAAAAAAAAGTAATAAAAATTCTGGAATTCTTCGAGAATCATTTGAATTGCAATGAGACTTCAAATTATTTGAATAAATCGGCGATTTCTCTGGGGAATTGAATTTTATTGGGGCCGTGTGCAAGAGGACTGTGGGATCGTGTGCAAAATGTATAAAACCCTCGTCGACGCTAGAGCACCCAGTGGTTCAATTAGACGTATCAGAGCACTCAGACTTTGTCAATCGGTAAAGCAGAGAATATTCTAGTGATCGTCATCATCTGGCGTCATTCCTGAGGATTCAAAATGGTGTGGGAGTTGTTGAAGAGTCGAAAGGCCGACGCGAAAAAAAGTCAAGGTAAGTAATCGACCGACAAATATCGATATATCTCGATAACTATCGATGTGACGGAAAAATGTCAAAAGAATTTTTTTGAGATCATTCAATTTTCGAAAAAAAAGGTCATATAAAATTTTCTTCTAAAATCAACAGATCCTGAGATTAATCAATTATTAGTAGAATTCAAATTCGATTCATGTAAAATTATCACTAATTAATTATTCATTATTGTTAACTCCAGATGAGGGGACCAAGGGAAAAAAAACCTGCAAGTGCGATGAGACAGGGGGCTGCAAGTGCAATTGCAACTGCAGGTGCAGGTGCACCAGAAAGAAAATACACATTCGTCCGCCGATGTTTAATTATTACACCGATATGATGCACTGAGAGGATTCAGTGGAGAAAATATTTTTTTTCGGCTTTTGCTACTTGTTTTTTATCAGTTGCAACTGGGGTATTAATTAATTGTGATGTAATTACTGTATTAACTGATTTACTCGCTATTCGAGTACATCAGCCTTTTTTTTTCTCGTGCAGAGAGAATTAATTAATAAATTTGATTAATAAACAAATGTGAAAGTTTTAAATTTTTCGATTATTCAAGAAACTCTCCAGTTTTTCTCCAGTAATTAATTAATTATCATTGATTAATTATTTATAATTATAATACTCCCAAATTTCATTTGTTTGGAAGTTTTGATTTTAAAAAATGTGTGAAAATTTTGTGGAATAATTGAAACGAATAAATGATTCGGAGAGATGATTAATGATTTTTTAAATTTGAAACTGGCACTTACCTTTAACAGCCATGTGAGGATTGACTCTCGATAAGGCACAAATCCTCGTTTTCGGTTGCTGGTGCTTTCAGCGAGTGATGCAATTACTTTTCCCAAGGTTAATAAAGATTTATTGATAGAAACTCCCTCCTAAAACAGAAAAAACCAAAAAATTTCAAATCTCAAGAAAAAAATGTCCGTCAATAACCGACATATCTCGGAAAATATGGATCTGCCAGAAAAATCTTAAGAACCATTTTTTTAGCTCTTGGAATCCCCTCAAAAAAAGGTCTTTTGACATTTTCCACCAGACCGCTTCCTTTCCCAACAAATCACGTTAATGGGTTTGCAAAAAATAATCACCCTGAGTCGTTCTCCACTGGCGCACGTCTGGCTGAGTCTCTCGCTGCCAGCAAGGTCAACCAGATTGATTTTACTCCTTCTGCTCGGTTCCCCGGTCGATCCTGGAGGACTTCCCTTCTGCGTCTGGGTCAGGACAACACTGAAAATACTGTGTGACCTCGAGCTCTTCTCGTTCATCTCAGTGGCAGCAGTTGCCTTCTGGGAGCTGCCAACCTTCAGCCACACCTGGAGATCCTCATAGCTCTGCACTAGGTGTTGACTGAGGTCGACGACATATGGACCGAACACGGGGTGCTCCCTGACCTTCAGAGGAGTCCTCTTTCTTCCAGTGCTCGAGTTGCTGAGGAGATCGTGAATCTTCTCGTTGTAGATCTCGAAGTAGCTGATCTCGACACTCGTCAGGAGATTCTCATTATCAGCCCTGGAATATTTAATTAAACAACTCATCAAATAAAACAATTAATGTATATAATATAACATTCCAATATTATATATTTTATTTGAATTATATTATTTCCAATTTCCACAGATTTCTCGTGGAATTAATTCTAAAAAAAATAGAATTGAAATAAACACCTGGAGAATATCTCGTGGCAGAACCTGGGGATGATGCCAGCACCCTGAGGAAGAGAGGACGAGGTAAGATGCACCTCAGACCCCATCATACTGTAACTCTTACCAGATCCAGTCTGTCCATAAGCAAAAAGACACACATTGTACCCTTCGAAGGCACTCTCCACCAGAGGCAACACCATCCCCTGGAATATCCTCTCCTGATCATCCCCAGATGACTTGAAGCAGTGGTCGTACGTAAAGCTGTGCTGACAGCTGTCAGACTCGACAAAAACAGCTGCTCCCCTAGCCTGAACGACAGGTCTAGCCTCCGGATCCTTGAGCTCACGAAGACTCATGGGTCTTACCCTCACCCCAACAGTCAAATTACTGGTCTCTCCCTCGCACATTGTCATCTCCTCCAGGGGATCATCTCTCTTCTTTCCACGTGGTGTCTCCAGGTGAACAGGACCGAAACACTCAGGGGTCGACTGTCCAATAGAATCTGAGAAGAATTTTCTAACTGGAGTTCTGAATGGCGTTGACTGATGAGGGCGATTCGACGTGCAGAAGAACGTAGGGGTCTTCTCCGAGGAGTTACGGGGTTTCGGGCACCTGGGGGGTGTCTCCAGGTCCTCGGCAAGATCGAAGTACCTCTTCTGGCATTTTTTACTGCTTTCTTTATGACTCGCAGATTTTTCATCGTCATTTTTTCGAGATTGTGGCGATATTTTCACTGTTTTTTTCTCATCGAAATTGGGATACGTCGAAAAAATGGCACCACTGAAACTCTTCACTGACTGATTCGACATTGCTCGGGGGAATTATTGAAAATTGAAATAATCATCTAGTCTAGAACATTCACCACTTTGTTATTAATTCTCGTAACTTCTGTTTTTTATTTGTTTATTAATCCTCGGTTATTTATTACTAGACACGTGAGGATAACCTGCAGGCACCGGTCAACCGTTTTTTTCTGCTTGTTGATTTAAAAAAAATACGTGATGTGCAGGCAATGAATTAATTATTAGTAAGGGGAATTAATAAATTAATTAAAAATGTCAATTGGTGACGGTTTGGGCACGCCACGAGGATTGGAACACGCACTGTTTTTTTATTTATTTAAATAATAGGGATTTGTACCGTTTGTTTACAGTTGGGACTTCAAACTGGGGAATGGGAATGGAGTGAACTTGCTGAGGATTGAAATAGACTGAAGACAGCTGAGGGCAGATTTTTTTTACCGGATTTCAGAGAATTTTCCCTCCAAAATATTAATCGTCTCGCCCTCTGTGGTGCTGGGTCGATACTGAAGTAGAGGGTCAGTTGTGGGGGTTTGAGCGACCGCAGCGGCATCGTAGTACTGCACCCCTAGAGAGGGTGGCCGCGAGTGACAGTGGGGAGGGCGGCCGGGTGGGGTGGGAGCCCGGGATTGGCCGGTTGGGGCGCGGCCGGGTGGGGTGGGAGCCCGAGATTGGCCGGGTGGGGCGGGCGGCCTCGAGGGAAGGGGCGTCTGCCCGTCAGCCGACTCGGTACCTGCCTCAGTAGTACTCCCGCTGTCAGAGGGACCAGTCGACTCCCTGCACGTTATTTTATGCGTTTGCATAAGGCTGTCCATCATTAAAAAAAGATCGATTTTCTCGAATCGAATTGAATTGATTAATTTCGAGATAAATGCCCCAAAAATTTATCATTAAAAAAAAGATGGATTTTCTCGAATCGAATTAAATTGATTAATCTCGAGATAAATGCCCCAAAAATTTATGAAAGAAGAAATTTAGAAAAAATTGTAAAGCGATTCGACTGAATAATCGAACCGGGAAATCGATAGAAAAAAATCGAGTATCGAATGCAAAAAAAATCGATTATTGAGGTATCGATTGTGAATCGAAAAACTAGGATAGCCTCCAAGAGGTTTCAGTCCATCCTATTTGATCGTCGGCGTCCACCGATGGTTCAGACCGGACGTAATCGTCTACCTGGATTATCAAAATTTTCAAAAAAATGGGGACTACAGACACCGCTATTGTTAAAAAACCCTCCACCGAGGGCAACGAATTAATCGACGAGTACGGAATGAATTTAAAAATTCTCCCAACGAATGCTCAGGTGAAAGAGCTGCAGACGATTCTCAGAGACAAGTGAGTGCTTTCTATTATTTTATGATGAAATCGTTTGACACGTGGAATAATTCACAATATTTAGGGAATTTTTCGTTTCAGAAACACCACCAGGAGTGATTTTAAATTCTATGCCGATCGTTTGGTACGTTTTTTTGGCTTTTTTTAATCGTTTCGCGAATTGCGAAACTCATGGTTTTACGACTTTTAGATAAGACTCGTTATCGAGGAGAGTCTCAATCAGTTGCCATTCACTAAGTTCGTCGTAACGACTCCAACTGGTGCCAAATATAAGGGGCTGAAGTATCAGAAGGGAAACTGTGGAGTGTCGATTGTCAGAAGTGGAGAAGCTATGGAACAGGTATTTTGAAAAAAAAGAATTACACCTCCAAAACGGGGGGAGATAGAGGAATTTTCGTGAGGAAGTATTTGTAGACCTCAATTCCCCCAGCAAAAATTGTTCTATGAATTTTCACGTGGCTCCTTTAAATTGGGAGATAATCGCCATTTACCCGTGTATATACTAAGCCCAGTGCATTTTTCCATTATTTTTCAATCGATGACACTTGGTATTGATCTATTTATGTTTGCAGGGGCTGAGGGACTGCTGTCGTAGCATACGAATCGGGAAAATCCTAGTCGAGAGTGACGCAGACACTCACGAAGCCAAAGTCGTTTATGCTAAATTTCCAGACGACATTGCTGACAGGAAAGTTTTACTAATGTATCCAATAATGAGTAAGTAATTGAAGGAGAAGTCAATGTTCAAAATATTAGACTAAAAATTGATATTTCAGGTACTGGAAATACTGTGATAAAGGCCATAGCTGTTTTAAAAGAGCATAATGTGTCAGAGGAAAATATCATCCTTTCGAATTTATTTTGTACGCCACCTGCTGCCAAAACTCTAGTCACTGCCTTTCCCAAGGTAATTACTAATTATCATAATATATAATAACTGAATATAATATTAAATTATTATAATACTCAATAATTCACTTTGAAAATTGAGTTTAGAGGATAACTTCAGAGGACTTTTTTCAAGAGAATTGAATTCTCTACAAATCAAAACGTGTGACAATTTTCGATAAAGCTAGTCATTACCGAGATAATTGAGCAATTCATTCAATATGGGATTGAATGAATTTTCTCTCGAATATTTATTAGTAATAAATACTAATTTGGATTAATTACTCAAATTTTAGATGAAGTTCTTAACATCGGAGATCCATAACGTAGCTCCAAACCACTTTGGACAGAAATATTTTGGTACGGACTGAATTACCTTAGTAATAATAATTATTTGATAAACAAATGATTGAGTAAATGATCTTACGAAAACTACAACCTAATGAAGGTTACATTCAACACAGCCCAGTTCGTCTTGAAATAATCATCTCATTTATCGCATTGCCTGTGAAATAATCAATAGAAAATGATCACAATTGAAAAAAATTAACGAAAATTTGAAAATTTCTACATAATTTAATGGAATTGGTATTTTTGAGAAAGCACTTTTTATTGAATTTATTCACAGATGATCTTGTAGATAATGCATTGAGTACTTTTTGTATGGAATATTTTTGATTTTGTTCTCTATTGAGACGACATGAATCAAGTGAGAGCACACGATCTATTTTTATCAGTGCAATGATTCCGATGTTTTCTGAATCATTCAAGTATTTATGGAAAAAAGAGAGAGTTCTGAGTATTATTTTCCTTATAATATCATTTATAATATTATTCATAATATTATTTACCTCCAACATCATCACATGAGAAAATAGAATTTTTATTGGATTTTAATCAGGATTTTATTAACGCTAAAAAATTATTAATCGATCGTAAAATCAGTAGAATTTTTTAGAGAACGTGAGTTTTCTGTTAATTTATAACGAGTAATTGTAATAATTATTCAATAATAACGCACAGCTCTTCAAGCCTTCACTAGATTGTAATTTTCGAGTTGAATTATGTGTCAAGACTGTATCTACTTTGCTATTTGTTTTTCATTAACAATATGTGGATGTCGAGTTGAGGGGATTATTTAAACATTTTCTGTTCAACTGCGTTGCAATTGTACGATGATTATTCATTATTTTGAGATGATATAAATTTAATTGTGTGATTCACAACTGTATTTCATTACGAATCTCTAATAATCTCTGAGAATGTTGAATGAAAATTGTAGAGTACCTGAAATCGAGGTAACTATCATCAAATATCACTGCATAATTGTCGAATATTGAATTTCTAATGGTGCGGCATAATTATTTAATTGGCAATTAAACGAGAGCTGGATATAATAATTTAAATTGATAATTCATTTAGACTGAAAATTGAGGATTAATAATCCTGGAAAATTATTATTTTTAGTGGTCAATTCTTGTAGAACAATTTGTGATGGAATTATAAATTTTGATACAATTTTTTCGGGCATTTGTCAGGGACTTAATTTCATTTTATTCATTTGGAAATATTTAATATAAATATGTTCACTAGATTGTGTTTTGAAGAGAGAACATTGGAATGAATTAATGATTTTTTTACCCGCATGCAGTTGAAACTGTATTGATTAGATTAATTTCAATGAAGTTATAAATTAATGGAATAAAATGGAATATAATATTGTATACATGATTATTTTGTACCTGAGTACTTGATCATGTATTTGTTGATAGTTTTTGGTGGATTATGACTGTCCGAGGATGTGCTAATGAGAGATCTAAACAATGAGAATTGTGAATCTACTATGAAAAATTATAAAATAAACTATGGATTTGAAAATAACTGACTCCACTATTTATTTTTAATTTTTTTTGTCACTGGTATTGGATTATCTCAGCCACGGTGGGGGTTACAAGGAAAATTCATGGGACTTTTTTGTGGAGAATTTCCTCGGCTACAAAAAAGCTCCCGAACAGTTTTTTCCTAAAAACACTCGTTTTTTAAATAAATGCAAAATTAACTATCTGTGAATGAAACAAAAAAGTGAATTTACCGAACACCATGTTTCAGTTCTCTGTAAATATCTCTGGATCCAATAGAGATGCAAAAAAAATCGTTGAGCCTTTTTTCTAGAGCTAAATGAGATCTAGAAAAAAGGTCCCACAAAAATTTCGCCATCTCTGCTAAATACCGAGATATGCACAGAAAACCGAACACCATTTCCCCTCCAGAACTCATAAATTGCCAATAGAAAGTATAAAATTTTGTTTCTTCGCAATAAAAATTGATGTCCTCAATCTTAATTGATCTGATAATTGATTGCAGGCTGTTCAAATCGAGGAGAGAGGCCGTGAGAGGATAAATAATTAGAAAGGAGAGATTATTGAATAATTGAAGACAGTTGGTGAGATTGATAATATTCCTAGAAAATTTTTTACTCTTCGTAGATAATCATTCCGCAAAATCCTGGAAGACTGATCAATAACTGGAGTACTTGATAATTAATCAAATGAAATTCTCGTTCATGACGTAATATTTTTATTAGTAAATTCATGTATTTATATAACAGTTGTTTCTTTATTTTGTAAATATATTGCGCAATATATTTAAAATTTGCATAATGACTCAGAGCAACATTAAATACTAACAGCCATTAATGAAAATTGTACAACTGGAAGTAAGAACATCCAACTTCCCACCCCCTCCTACCAGGAAGAAAGCTAATTCGTATTAAAGCCCAATTAGTCGTTAAAATTCCTCGATTATTTATCATCTTTTTCATTCACAGGCATTTATGTCTCATCAGATTAATTATAAACATTTCCATTACCTTAAACCTTAATTGCAATATTTGTGGGGATGATAATGTGCAAATCCTATTCGGAATAACTAATGATAATCGATTCCAGAGGAAGATGCGAATTCATGGATAATATGAAAAATGTTCTTCACTTGCGATTATCTCGGGATTGAGAGGGTTTAGGAAAAAAATTCATAGGACTTCTCCTGTAGATCATTCAATTCTCTACAAATGAAGACGTACGATTTTTTTAGCTAAATCCACTCGTTACCACGATAATTGAACAATTGATTCGTGATGTAGTCGGACAGAAACTGATTTATTGGTTTATTACTGGAATAATCACTCCAATATTTTTTCAATCTTTTGAAACCAATTGACAACGAATAATTTTTGTGCACAGAGTTTTTTCACCACTGAGTATTTATGTATTTGTGGGTGTCCTATAAAAGCAATTCTCACTGAGAAAGTTTATGTTATTGAAAAAGAAAATATAGGAGAAGAACTAGGCCGCTTTCTTCCACACGTACATTCTGTTGATATCTGCTATTTATGATGAATTCTCATGAGCAATTATCATCGAAATGGAAGATTACCAAATTAAGAGGAAGAGATATTTCATTCTGTCAAACTCGATAAAAGAAAACAACTCCAGAAGAATCCTCACACCAAATACCGAAATATCTCGAAAACCACTAGCTCTACAAAAAAATTTCCAAGCAACAATTTCGTAGGTCTTGAAATTTTCTACAAAAAAGTCTCATGACATTTTTCTGCGAACTCATTCGGTCCGGAGATATTTCGAAAATAGTCTGGACGAAATTTCTGGGGGTATTTCTTTCGCTCAATTCCTTCACTAATTAATTACTCAGCAATTAATATCGTTATTCTTACATTTTCGTCCCGTCTATCTGGCAGTACTTGTCAACCCGACGTTAATGGAAATAATGAACAAAGTAGAAAATTAAATGAATGCACGTCTGCTATTTATTCTTCCTTCTCTTGGTCGTCAGATTTCTCCTCGTTTTTGTCGATACTGTCGTCCATTTCTCCATCTTCAGCTTGAGATTTCGTGGATAATTCATCGTCGACGGTTTTTGATTGATCCTCGGTATCCTCCATCGTCGAGTGCTGCCTCTCATTCATTTCACTAATTAAATAATCAATTAATTAAAAAATACGTGACAATTGAAAATTAAAAAATGGCAGTGAAACAAATTTTCTTTCTGATTCCAGAATTATTTCTGAAAAAATTCATTGAAAAAATGGAATCATAATTTTAGAAAAGTTATCAATTTTTCACTGATAAATTTATTTAAACATTATTTTTATTATCTTCACCTTTCGGAGTGGACGCCACTGACGTCTTTATCAGTTGATGCCTGAAAAAATAATAAAAATCATTAATTATTGTTAACGATTAATTAATTATGAAAAAAATAAAAATAACTGACGAAATATTGAAAGAAAAACGATAAATTGTAAATCGATGGATTAAACGAATTGATTACAATCGATTTACCTCTCGACTCGATGTATTTCCATTTTGTCTGACATCTCTGTGGACCTCTGTGTCCTGATCAACAGTCCCTTCCACTGAGCTGTCCCCTAGTGAAATGACCTTGAGAAATTTCTCCAACTCGTCGATTTCATTCGCCAGATCGAAATCCTCGTAATCCTGCACCAGAGAAAACATTAACGGATAAATTTAATCAGTCAGATTGCGGACCGTCACTCGTGATAACGATTAGAAAGCCAGAGATAACTCGCCATTTCCGGTTTTACAACGCACATTAATTAATATTGTTTATGCAGAATTTTATAAAAATCCTGCCGCCGAAAACTACTCTCTCAATTTTTTTATGCGATTTAAAGAGAATAAATTTTGAAAAATGCACAAATAATTAACTGAATAAAAAATTACTAGATGTAATTAATTAATTGTCTCTTAATCACTCAGTTTATCCTACATCTCGATTAATTAATTTATAACGAAATTCTTACAATAAATGATCAAACCCTTTTTTTAATAAAAAATTATATTCTCATCTTGAATTATTCCTGAGAAATAATTAACAATTAAAATTCCCTGAAATTGTGGAATCGTTAATATTTCATTTTTTCATTTCAATTATTCAATTTCCTTTCAATTTTTATCATTAGAAATAAAATGGTGGATTTCAGATCTGATGAATTCAATTCCGCGAAACATGAAAATGGAAAGGAATAATTATTAGGGTGTAATTACTCCGCAATAGTCCTCATCATTGAAGATTTGGGGGGGTAATGGATGTTTATTATCCCTCGCATTACTCATGCTCTGCATGTACTCTTTATCGTCCTCTTTTCCTGGCTCTGTGATGTCAATTACTTCGTACTCGACATTTTTGCTATCAAGTATCATCATCACTCTCTGCTGACGCTTCTTCACCTGAAATCATCAACAATTATAAATAATAATTAAATATAAATAATGAGTCATTCCTGACTGACGCAATAAGGGAATTTCATTAAAAAATCTCATTACGTTTCTATTAACTATTCCATTGAATCAACTAATTATTATTATTATTAATTATTTCATTATTATCTGTTTGGTTTTTTTGAAAATTCGAGGCGAGAAAATTCTATTATTTTTTTTTATTGAGTATTGGTAGAGTTAGAAAAAAATTAAAAAAGGATTTAAAGGGATTCAATCGAATTTTTCAATGAATTCATTCGGTTTTTGCATTCAATTTTTTCATCCGTGCAATTGTCTGTAATGAGTCATTCGCGGAACCAACGCCTCAATATTAAATGAACGCAGATCGAGTTGATTAAAACAATTTGCCCTCCAACGAATTACAAAATCAAAAACTTTAATAAATGGCCTTGACGACTCGAAAAATTGCGTAATTATTGTTCTGTTAATTAACGGATAATTATAATAACTGCGGCAATTTCTTAAATGAATTTTTTGATATGAAGGATAGGTATGAGTTTTTTAGAAATAATAATTATTTGCAGAAAAATGGAGAGAGAAAGAAAAAAAATGGGACTTTTTTGAGTTAATAATGACAAATTGAAAACACCGCTGGATTTAACTGCCAATAACTCGGCATTGGCTGAGAAAATTTCGATGAGTCTAGGATCATTTTAAAGGTCTTTTTTTATTCATTCAAAATGACTTCTGGTTTTTCGAAATCGCGTCGTTCATTCCGGAGATATGGAGGATTGAATAAAACAAAGTGCCCTCCACCTCTTTCAACTGCCAACCAAATAATTTTGCAATTTTGTATATATCTCTAAAATGAAGAAGTTTACAAAAAAAAGTCAGAAACCCAAACTTTTCCAAAATCTGAACCCCTCCAAAAAAGGTCCCACGCCCTCTCCCCTAAACCCAATACCCCCCGAGATATGACCGAAACAATAAGTACCCTTCCCGTGCAATGATCCCCAGCCCCCCCAGAGTCCATAATAATAACTTCATGATCGATTAAATTATTCCACGAGATGATTCTAATAAACCCTGACATTACCTCCAACGACAGCTATGAATATCCCAGAGTTTCCAGCAATAAAAAAAAACCGATAAAACCGCATCATTACTGGAAAAAATCGTTCAAAAAATGGGAAATCACTTCCAAAATATTTATCGGACGTTAAAAACCCCAAAAAATCCCACTAAATACCTGATCCCCATCACCACGATCTCCAATAAACCCTGGTAACATGATCCCTCGAATAAAAACCCCCAAAAATAAATAAATAAATGAATAAATCGGTCCTAGGGAGTTGGCACAGTTCAAGGCCCCCAACAATCGCCAAAAATCTTTAAAAAAAAATTCTAAAAACCTTCAATACTCACTTCCTTATTCCCACTGATCCCAGATATATAAACCTTCACAACCATTTTGACCCCTCACCACCTGAATCCAGCTAGCACCACTTTTTATTCACCTCGATAATCAAAAATCACAAAAATTCTTTCTTTCTCTCAGCTAATCACCAAAATCCCAATGATTTCACGTACGAACTCCCTAAGACAACTGACTAGCTGATCAGGTATGATCCTCTTCGTATAGTCAGGTTATTGCATCTGATTTGAGCTGATTGTATCCACAAACAACGAAAAAGTGTCTGTGAGTCTGTGGTGGGGGTTACACACCACTCTCCGCCACTTCATTGGAAATATCTCGACAACCGCTTGATGCACGAAAATCTTCACTGGACGTTTTTTGTAGGGAAGATTTAGGCCCAGAAAAAAGGTCCAGTAAAGATTGCTCTGTCTCCTCCAGGTCTCGAGATATCCGGCGAAAACGAAACTCCTCTAGTCGTGATGTACGTCATCACTGGTGGAGGGGTTCATTGGTTTCATAAATGGTGAAAAAAAATGGTGAAATGGATGAGAAGCTGAAGTTCATTGGAAATGACACCTGAAGCATTCGTTTCTGTCAAATAAATTTGCACCTGTCAACTGATTCAAAACATTTTGTTAATTGCATGACAACTTTTTTATATTCTACCCAGAATTATTTACACGCGACAATTATCGTGGATATCTTAGTAATGAAGGGAGATAACGAAATTATTGTATGATTCTTTTTTTTAGGTAACAAAACGCTCTACAAAAAATGATTTTACGAAAATTTCGATATCTCATTTTGTTTGCGAGATTTCCACAGATTTCTGAGTCTACGTGAAATAATTTTGAATATAAAACTGAAATTTCAATTAAAAATTACCCGAAATCTCCAATTAAATCCTCAAAACTCTCTCCAAAAATGTCGAAAAAACTATAAACATCCCCCGAAGACCCCAGAGTATCCTCAACCCCAAAAACCTGTACCTGAAATATCGTAAATTCAAAATTTCGCAACGATTTCTCCCCGAAACGTGAGCAGTGGCTTGTAAACAGCCCTAACCCTGTCAAAAACAGAGCATCGGCACAAACTAAAAAATCAAATCCAGAACCTCAAAAGGGGTTTACCAAATTATTGATGACAGAACTCAGCGGATCATCAGGATCAGCCCACCACATGGAGTTGTGGATATACCACCCCGACCTCGAATCAGAAAAAAATTCACAAATCCGAAACAATGAAGGCCCTGAGTGATGTGAAAAGATCAAAAGACTTGAAGCGAAAGCGCGATGACAGTACCCAGGACGTAAGACTCGATAAACAAATAAAAGTTACAGATTTTGATACAAATTCTAGTATTAATTTAGACAATAATGTGGACGAGAGTGCGGGATTTTTCGACGAATACTGTCAGATCCTCCTGAAGGACAGCAATCAGAGCCAGGGTAACGTGATTGATGATGATTTACTGGGTGATAAAGGTAGAGAAATATTCTCGGGGATGAGTGATCAGATGAGGGCACCCCTAGCTGTCAGACTCAAAGGATGGGCTGTGAGAAATGGTGAGGCCCTGAAGAACGAGGTTATCGATGATTTGTTGACTATTTTAAGAGACGAGGGATACCTGGATCTCCCTGGAACAGCTGTTGCCCTCTTGGGTGGTGAGGGATCATCGAGCGCGCCAAAAGCTCAGGATGATCCGATCACTGAAGGTGAACTCGAGAGGGTTGATATCTGGATCAAGAAGGAAGAGTCCAGTGAGTCCATGTGGGCTAATGACGATAATAATAGCTCAGAACCCCTGTCTCATGATGAAATTGAGAGCAGTATCAGGAGTGATGTGATCTGTCCGGATTTTGCTGTCACTGATTTTATCAGTGATGATCCGAAGGGAAAGACTGGTGAGAAGAGTGAGGAGAATGGGGGAAAATTCTCATCTGCTTTTAAAGAGGAACTCCAGAAGATGGAGCAGAGGTGGGCTAGACAGCTTGAGAGCACCAAGAGAAGTCTTCTTTATGATATGGTCAGGAAGTATGAGGATCTCAAGAACAGGATTGGAGTGTCTACTAGACCTCTTGGTACTAGCTTCACTGATGATAAGGAAATTCTAGGGGTTAAACTGCCTTTTTTGAATGTCGATACCTTCAGGGAATTCGATGACAGCATTGGGGATAATCCGGAGAAGGAAATCGCGATGGTGAGAGAAATTATTGTGATTTTTATTATTAATAAATCCTGTTATTCATTGTTTTTCAATTATTAGAAAATCATTAATTAAATTTGAAATTGCTGTGATTATTGTTATTAATAAATCATGATATTAATTGTTTTTCAGTTATTAGAGAATCATTAATCGAATTTTACATCGAAATTATTTGGAAATTGTTTGATTTTTTATTATTAATAATGATTATTATCATTTTAATTATTTTAATTGCAATTTTTAATCATTTAGATATCAATCCACGAATTGAGAGTATTAGCATATCGGTAAAGAGTTGCAGAAGGTCTCTAGTAATTTTTAACCGATATAAAAAGAAATTGTTAATGGAGACTCATGCGTGAGATGTTTTGAGAGGTTTCTAAGGTAATTTTCAGGATAACCAGTAGAAAACTTAATGAATTCATTATTTATTTCCAGAAATCACTGATGACTACTCTCTGTTTTGGTGCTGCATCACTCAGTAACAGTATTGGCTGCATTTTATCAGCATTTTTGACGAAAGACGTGCAGATGCAGTACAGTGCGTGTGGAAAAAAAATTAGAGGAGTGAAAAAACGAAATTTCGGTGATACCAACACCTTCAGATATGCCAAAGGTAAAAAAAACATATCGACGGGTAATATTCAATGGGAAGTCAGGAGAAAAAAAAATTTCTGCGATTTATTTGATCCAGAAATTTGGATAAATTAATTCATTTGTTGTATCCCATTTTTTTATTAATGTGGAAATAATAAATTGGGCAGAAATTGAATTGAAAATCCAATGAATGGAATTAATTCAATGAAAGGATGGAATTTCTTGGGTTTATTGAATTAATCAATTGTTCTTAATTAATTAATTTTTCTTAAATTCAATAGAAATACCAGTTAAAATAAATTTTAAAAAATCTCCAGATGTTTTGAGAGAAAAACATGGCACGAGTGACGCAGAAATCGTCTCGAAAACCAGTCGATGGTTCACAGGAGCTGGTGATCGTGATGGTGGCAGAAAAGAAAGAAGAAAAGAAAATCCCAATCACTCTCACCTCAGTGACACGAAACCCGAAATTTCACAAACAATTTTGTAGAAAAAAAAAACGGAAAAAAAAAATGACAAAACAATAAAAAAAAGAAATTGGAGCTTGTACAGAATAAAATATTTTATTTAGATAATTTTCATACACTTGAGTGTTGCCTCAACGCGTTGAATCAACTGCTCGACTTTTCCATCGATTAAAACAATGTCACGGATATTTTTCTCCTTCGTGTCCTTCGTGAGGCTAATCAACACGGATTTCGCCCTGTGGATGTCGAAGATAGTGTGATTGATACCCAATTGCCACGTGTCAAAGCTGACGCATGATTTTCTCGTCTTCAGGGACTCCAGACGTCTCTCGATTATGAAACAGAGAAATTGGGAGAATTGCTGGTAATCCATACCGTGCGATGCCTTCAAAATTAATTGACACTGCGATGGCCAATTGTCCATGTTACTGCAGTCCTCGATCTCTTTCATTACTGCCAACAATGCCTTCTTCAATTCTCGCCAGATATTCCAGATGTTGCAGCCATTTATCCAGTTGTGATTTATTGATATCGTGTCTTCCTGATAAAAAATCAAATTATTTAGCAAATAATATTCATTAATTCTCCGACATGTTAAACTATTTCATTGAATTTATTTTTTATAATCTTGTATTTTTTTTATTGCAATAAATCATTAAATTAATAAAATGTTTTCAACTCTTGTAAATGTTTTTTTTTGTAACTTATAATAATTATTGGAGTATTTACTAGATTCCAAACTTGATGATGCCATCCGGAAGGTACGAAGACGATTTCTCCGGGTCCCTGGACTATTTCTAAAGACTTATTCAAAGGTTTTGGAGGTATGTTATTGTCTGGTGAATCGATGTCATAGGGTAGATGACCGCGTGCATCACAGAGATTGTCTTCCTCGCCTGGAGGAAATAGTAGCCAGCGTTTTTTTCCCACAATATTGGCAGACCAGCTGTACGATGCGAATACGTCGACATGAAGAGGTGTCCACGATCCTTTAGGCCCCATATAAACGAACATGTAGTCATCCTCGAGGTGAGGATGAGCGAGGTAGTATTCATTAAGCCAATCGGAGCCGAAGTACTTTGGTACTTTATAAATTCTAGCATTCGGGTGATCTCTCAGGCAGTGCCAGTCCTTCAAGTACAACAGAGGCATCTCGCAGGGATAATTATTGTTTCTATACTCTTGCCAATAATCTACGAACTTCTCTATCTTCATTGTCTCTTTTAATTGAGCGTTGTAATATTTTATGCCACAGTTAGCTACAGGTACTTTGGATTCTCCTGGAAATTCAAAATTATTAGATTCACTCTTTCGAAATATCTCAGAAACGGCGGGGTTTATCGAAAAACTTCAGAAGACTTTATTCCAGCCCTTGGAATTATCTACAAAAAGTTTCCCTACAGCATTCTTCTCACCCTTAGTATTTTCAAGATATTTCCAAAATAAACGCACCATTACTCTTACTCTTGAAAACCAAAATTACTCAATCTTCAATATCTCTATAACCAGTGAATCAATTTTAGTGAATTAAAGTTCATTTGGAAGACAAAAAAAAATCCTGTAAAATGAATGAAAGAACATCGAATTCCACTCAGTGGATCTCGAGATATTGATGAGTGATGTTTACCATATAATTGTTTTAGACATTTGAAATTAGGCGCTCCATCGATTCGCCACTGCTGCGCACAGGTCCACTCATTAGTAATTCCCGATTGAATAACACAAGGCAAATTTGGCAGGAGATGCTCAGAAAAAAAATCATTATACGTTAAGGAAGAGCTGACAGTTCGATTATTAAGTATTACACACTCATTGTCGCACTTGTCCCATTTTTTTGGGTTTTTATCATCGATCTCGATAACCTCCATCCTCTCAGCTGATCCCACATTTTTGGGGGAACTGGAGGGACCAGTCCCAAAGTCCCTAGATCCCCAATAGGGACCTTGAACTTACTATATTTATATGTTTATATTTTTACCACCTCTCCGAGTTTATTTTCGTCTGCCTCAGGTTTTATTTACTAACAAATACTCCATTATTTAAACTAGGAGAGGAAAAAAATTTTGATTAATCACTCGTCCAGAAAGGATTAAAAATGGGTGGGGGAGATTTGGTGAGTGGAAATGTTTATTAAAGTCTAAGATAATTGAGAATTTGTGTAAAATGGAGAAGCTAACCCCCAAAAATCAATTCTTGAAAAATAATTAATTAATAATTCGTGAAAATCTCTATATTTACTTGGAAAAATATTTTTTTACATTCAGTACCTTAGAAAATTATGGAAAACTATTGATTCCAGAGGAAAACTTTATAAAACTTTCTCTTTGAAAATTTCCTGAGTTCCAAAAAATTCCTCTGACTTTTTTACGTCAATTCAATATTTTAAAAGATAAATCTATATTCCGAACAATAATTCGATGAATTATGAATTGATTAATTATTAATCAATTATTATTACTATTATTTGATAGAGTTATCGTATTTTTGATAATTGCCAAAATAAATAACCCTAATTTATTAAAATAATTATTTTTCAGAACCTGAAGAAGTCCTGGCACCCCTCGACGATGAAGAACATGGAGAAGGTGTGGAAGGCAGAGCAACAGGACAGTCGAGAGAAAAAAAAAATAGCTGAATTGAAACGAGACATCGAGATGGAGAAGGACAGGGAGGACATGACGAGATATGCAATGCAGCAGGGGGTGATTGCAAAGAAAGAGGATAAAAAACTCGATTGGATGTACAAGGGACCCAATCAAGGGATCAATAGAGAAGATTATCTCACGGGAAAGGCAATAGATAAGACCTTTGAGCAGCAGGCACAGGCTGAGAGAGACGCAGAGAGAAATCGAATGCCTAGTAATCACGTAGAATACGGTGTGTTTAATTTATCAATTTGTATATTCAATTTATAAATTTTATTTATATTTCAGGAAAATATAAAATATCTCGTTAATTTGAAAGAATTCTTCACGTTTTAATTATATTTCTCCACTAGAATCATCTCCAGAGGATTATTTATTCAAATAATTAACACTCAATTAAAAATGGTAATTACAACTCGATTTTTAATTGGAACAGATAATTTTTTTGGTTTCAGAGTGCGTTCCACCGTCGTTGAGGTTTTTCTCAGGCAGTGAACAAGTGGATCTGCAGAAGAAACTGCAGGAAGACCCGTTGTATGCGATTAAAAAAAAGGAAATGGAGTCGAGGACGCAATTACTGAAAAATCCAGTGAAACTGAAGCAACTGAAGGAATTAGTTGTGAGTTGAAAGCTTCAGAACAGTTTCTGACCGATTTGTTTATAATTTCATTTGATAATTAATTTTTTTGTTATTAATTTCTTGCAGAGCAAGAGGAGAGGAAGTCCTGAGGCGTCATCTTCGTCGTCGAGGCATCACAAGTCGTCGAAACACCACAAAGAGTCTCACAGATCGAAGAAAGACGATGGGAAACATCAATCGAAGAAGAAAGTCAAACTTACTGACGAGGAGAAAGAGAAACGACTCAAGGAGATGCTGGCGAACGCCTCCTGGAGGGACAAGGAGAGAGCAAAAAATGTGAAGAAGTATCGAGAACAGGACAAAAAGGAGCAGAAGAGTAAATCGTACGACAAGGACTTCATCAGGTGATCGATAAAAACAAGAATAAAAAATCTATTCACCAAAATATTTGATGATTATTGAATTTTCAGTTTTTATTGGGTTTTAATTATTGTTTCTGCCTCTCAGGAAACACCTGGTGAAGGCGACCGAAGTCGAGACCGTCGCCTCTCGAATAAAATCCAATATAAATAATATCCAACGATCTGGACGCGCGATGGACACAAATTTCGCCAGGAGATAACCCCGAGCCAAAAATCATCGACTCAATTCACTCTAGAATTTTTTATTCCTTTCAACGAGTTTTTATATTATATTTCTTTACAATCATGACGTAATAAATTAATTATCGAGAGCATGAGTCATTTATTTTTTTTTATCGAATAATTTACAGAATTCCCAATATTTATTACAAGTATTACAAGTCAATTGCACTTATTATTATTTATCTAATATTTTCAATAAATAACGACCCC